GCAAACGCTGCATCTTCTGCCAAGCAGAAATGAACCAGTGGCTTTCACCGGCAAGCATTACCTCAGCCACTTCTGGACAGACAGGCAGTTAGCTTTCATCCCTATCTCCATCTTCGTGAGTCACCGGGTGAATGGTTTGGCTGCCCCGAGTGGATCTAGAAAGAGAGAAATACAAAGAGCGGGTGTCGGCCGCACACAGTGGAAACCACAGCCTGTGGCTCCATGGTCACCCTCCTAGAGGCACTGGGTGCACAGGTAGTGTGAAGGATGACTGGCAGAGCCCTCAAGGCTTTCACACCAGAGCCTCACAGGATGAGAGGAAGAGATGCTCAGGTTGACCCTAGCACTACTGGTGGCAGTACCAAAAGCAGCTGGAAGTCAGTGATGCTGAGGAATGTGGAGACACCTGGAAATGCTATCATGGTACCTTCCTTCATCCTACTCAAGAGGTGATCAGAAACCAACACTGCAGGGCTGCCCTGGGCAACACCTAGGATTGAAGTTGTACCAACAGATTTGTGTTTCAGCTACTGTGTGGAAGAGATTCCCACCCGGCCTCCCCACCAGACACTCTAAAAGCAGGTGAGTTGAGACTGGTGCGAGGAGTGGAGTGACTGAGATGGTTGTCACCCATTGCAAGTCAGCAGACCCTAAACCTTTCCAATGGCTTCACAGTCTTTTAAGAGATCTTAATCATATAATGATTGCATTATTTGAATCAGTTTGTTCTAGTCCCGACAAATCCCCATTTACATACTATGCTGTGTTCCCAGCTCTGTCATTAAAGTTTAATGCCTTAATTCAGCCATCAATCCCCACTCAGCAAAACAATTCAGCTAAGTACATATTTAAAGTTAAGCATATTCTTGAATGCTTTGCCGAAATGAAGCGGTCTTATGCACACGGTGACACGCTTTGCTGAACTGGGTGTTCATGCCCAAATTGTTCCCTTGCTGTAGGCAGCTGGGAGTGAGGCCTTCTTCTTCCTCCTTGCATTCATGTGTAAGTGGGTGGCTGGTGAAGGACCCAGGATCTTCTGTAATGTCAAAGCATAATATTAAAGGAGAAAGTGATTGTAATTCTGTTTTGTTTTTGCCACTGCTTCATGCCTTGACACAACCAGACACAGCCCTTTGTATTTTCTAAATGCTGCCGTGTTGATTTATTTTAAATTAAAGTTTGAAACGTAGCTACTTCTCTGAAGATCCCTGTCCACAGCAAACTGGTAGGATTGAGCTAATACCAGGTCACTGGGATTATTCAGACCTCAAAGGAAGGAAAAATCGATAAATCTTTACACAGATGCCATTTTGTCCCTGGTGGGTCACCTAATAGAAATACAAAAAGAAAAAAAAAAAAGTAGTGATTGATTTCTCAAAGCATAATATTTACCTTTTTCCACCAAGACTCGTACTCCAACACTGACTAAATTGTTTTAGCTTTTCATATCAATAATTTTATAGTACATTGCTCCAGGGCCTTGATTTGGTTGGTGGTGTAGATAAATTTGTTTTTGTTTTTAATTTTCAACTTCAGTTGACAATTTATTTCTGGAGAAGAATGAATGAAATAAATCCCATAATGGAGTTTTCAGCTGTAAGGGAACATGCAATTTATTATAGTTAAATATTTCCACTGCTGCTGGTAATGGTGGAAGCAATAGTGGATTTACTTTCTTTTATGACCATGTTTTATATATTTTTTAGCTTATGTGTTTAAAAATCTTACAAGGTGCTTGTTTAAAATATTTTACGTATTTGAGAGATGTTAGCATTTTAATGTTCCTTTACAAGACAGCTGTGTCCAACAACAGCTCTTGTATGTGCCATATATCTCTACAGCAAAGAATAACTCAAAGGGTATCCAAATCCCCTCTTGAATACAGAGAGGCTTGGGAGGAGAGTAATCTGCAGAGGAAACTTTGTGCTAATGACACACATTACAACATTTTAGAGATTTCTGGTTTACCTCAAGGTTTGATTCAAATTTATCCTAGTTACAGGTGAAGGTCAGAGGAAAGGAGCTTCTTTAGCATGCTTTTTAATCAGTCCAACCACGGTCTTAATTTTAGGTCAAAATTTTATTCAGTCGAAGTGCGTGTTCATTAATTTCTCTTTCATTTTACACAAGGAGGATGTCCATGGCAGCAATAAACAGCCGTGCAGCTTACAGCTTATACAAGAATAAAGGCTTGCCACAGTTTGACCTAGTGTACATCCACCCAGTCCTTTCTGACTGCATTAAATGAAGAAACAGATTTCAGGTTTTCAAACAAATTTTACTAGCAGCTTGGTATTTAAAATCAGATTCTTATTATTTTTTTTTCTCCTCTGAAAAGGATTGGATTTAATTGAAAGGTTAAGGAGACATTATCTGAAAAACTGGAAATACTTCAATCAAATAATGACGGAGTGTAGAGATCTGAACAGGACATGTCCATTTATCTCGTTATTGTGATCTGGCAATTGGGCAGGGAAAAATCCATGACCTACTTCTTTGTACATCTTAAGCCATGGACAGTAATTGGACGGTTTCTTTGTGCAGCATTTGCTTTGTTTCCTCAAAACTTAGTTCTGAGTAGTAGGTGTTGTCCAGGGATTTTATGATCTGTGTGGCTGCCCTTGCTTTCAGTCTGTCACTATGGAAATTGTTTATAATTTTTTGGGTTGAGATAAGCTGTAAATGTTTTTGCTGTTAAGGCATCTTGGGGGGCCACGGAGCATCACAAATGTTGTAGTGTTTTTGGGCGGGCGCAGAAAGTCAGTTGTTGGCTGCAGACCTTGAGAACCACGGCTGGGATTGATGGAAAAATGCAACCAAGCCAGCTGTTGGCAGCTGGAGATGAGAGCGTCTTCCTCAGGCACATAGCCTGGCAGTCAGGGCAGCGTGGGGTGGCACGCCTGAATCAGCAGGGAGACATCTCACTGGGGCAGCACTGCGCTCACCAGCCACCAAGGTATGCTGCGGGTACAGAATCAACAACCAAGAAGTGAGCAAAGCTCCCACAATAGGCGATTGAGTGGGTTTATTGATGACAGATTGTGCTGGCTGCGGTGTGCATACCCACAGTGTGGGCAGGCAGAGTTTCCAAGGCTTTGGTTCAGGGCCTGACGAGCGAGCAGCCTCTTCCCATGGGGTTCTCAGCACAGCGCAAGGCTTTACAGATTAAAACCAACATGTATTATACATGACATCTGTGTGCACTGCTCCTTAAATGCGAGCCTCATAGAGGGACCAGGAAACCAGCAGCCTTCCACTGTACATTTCCTTTTTCTGGTTCCCTGTCCCCCTCCAATTTTAATACAGCTTTCTACCGGCGTGTTGGCTTTGGTTGCCTTGTCATAACAAAGCAAGCAAGCCTGTCTGTGTCATACCTGGGCTTCAGCAGCTAATTAACATGAGGCAGCCATGGGAGTTTCTGAGAAGCTCAACTCTGATGTAACGCAATCCCATCCACTGAGGAAGCTTTTAGATGCTCCAGCCATGCATAATTTATTTTTGTCAGCCACATGGTAGTAAAGCTCATTTTGCATAATGGATGCTTGCAATGGAAAAGTGCTTACAGGGTTTCAGTAGAGCAGACAGCCTTTTCATCTATCTATATCAAAGAGAAATTAAACAATGATGGGATCAGCCTTGTGTAAAACTCTGAAAATAATGTTTTAAATGCGTGCAAAACCTATTAAAGCAGTGCTTGTGTTATTCAAATGCGCTGCTGTGTAATTGTTCATTTATACCTCTCTCCAGCATGCTTGTGCCTCCTGATTTACATACAATTTATTCTCCTACCTGTAATTCCTATAAAGCCCCTACATGGCCATGCACGACTCAGTGCCAGGACCGGCTGCACTGTGGCAGCGTTTGCACCCAGGCTTCAGGTCACAGTGAGCAGCCCCAACCCAAACCTGGGCTTGTGCCCTGGTGTAACCTGGGTGTGGGAGTGAGGCCACTGCGAGCCCCTGCTCGAGAGGGATGGTACTCGGTGCCCTGATGTTGACTGTGGTAAGGTGGTGGGTATTGTTCTGCTGCTGGTGGGAACATAAAACAAAAAGGGGAAAAAAAAAGAGAGAGAGAAGAAATAAAAAGAGGAAAAATAAGAAAAGAGGAGAAAAGAAAGAAGGGAAGGAAGGAAGGAAGGAAGGAAGGAAGGAAGGAAGGAAGGAAGGAAGGAAGGAAGGAAGGAAGGAAGGAAGGAAGGAAGGAAGGAAGGAAGGAAGGAAGGAAGGAAGGGAGAGAGAAAGAGAGAGAAAGAGAGAAAGAGAGAAAGAGAGAAAGAGAGACAGAGAGAGAGAAAGAGAGAGAAAGAGAGAAAGAAAGAGAGAAAGAAAGAGAGAAAGAAAGAGAAAGAGAGAAAGAGAGAAGAGAGAGAGAGAGAGAGAAGAAGAAGAAGACCCGCAACTCCTCCTCTCCTCCCGCACGCAGCTAAGCGCGCGCCCGCCCCCGCGAAGCACCGCATGCCCTCCTCCCCGCCTCCAGCCCGCCCTCCCTCCCCCTATCCCCCGCAAGTCCGCAGCCCGCCCGCCCCTCAGGAACGCACCCTCCCCGCTCACCTGTACCCGGACCCCGCCCCTCCCCCCCCCTAATCCCAGGAAAGCAAAGACAAACGACCCCAGGAGAAGAGCGGACAACCGCTTACCGTGGCCAGGAGGCACGTTCCCGCCAGGGAAGGTCAAGCGAGTCCGTTCACTTCCTTGGAAGGGAGCAAAGGGGAGAACCCGTAAGGGAAAGCCCCCCGCCCGGGCCGGGCCTTTCCCTTTCACAGCCCTGTCCAAGGGAAAGGGAAAGGGACCCAAACCACCCCCCCCCCCCTCCCCGCCCGGTCCCGAGGCGCCTCCGCCCTGCGCTCGGGACCCGTCCTGGAAGCGCCCCGCGGCGCGCGGCCACCGCCGGCCGGTACCGAACGGCCCCGGCTCGGCACAGCCCGGTACAGCCCGGCACAACCCAGTACAGCCCGGCACGGCTCGGCACAGCCCGGCACGGCTCGGCACGGCTCGGCCGGGATGTCCGAGGGCAGCCCCACCTCCCTCCTGCACCTCTCCATCACCCGCTGGTGCGTGCCCCCCGCCCGCGCCGTGGGGAGGGCGGGGATGGGGCCGGGGAGCGCCGGCACGGAGGGGGCCCGGCGATAACGCCCGCGATGGTTTTTGTAAGGCCGAAGGTGTCAGGACAGCAGGGAACTCGTCCTGAGAGCCTGCGTCCTGCCACGGTTCGCCTGGAGGTGGTTTGATGCAGGGGAATGGGGTCGCTTGTCCCGCCCGTGCCACCCCTTGGTGTGAGCATCCTCGGCGGGGCGATGCGGAGCCCCCCTGCTCCCCGCGCTGTGTCCCCTGGTGAGGGCAACGGCTGAGCCCAACGCTGCGGGAGGCTTGCTGCAGAGGGGTGAGGTTGTCACCTTGGTTTTTCTTGGGTTTGGCGAAAAGTGCCGTCAGCCATGTGGCAGAGAAAGAGAGAAAAGGGTTCCCGGCCTTCCTTCCCCATGCACTGGCTGAATCCAGCTGGCAAAGAGTATTGAAACATTGGAACAGGCTGCCCAGGGAAGTGGTGGAGTCACCATCCCTGGAGGTCTTTAAAAGACGTTTAGATGTAGAGCTTAGGGATATGGTTTAGTGGGGACTGTTAGCGTTAGTCAGAGGTTGGACTCGATGATCTTGAGGTCTCTTCCAACCTAGAAATTCTGTGATTCTGTGATTCTGTGAAACCGTGTGTGAAGCAACAGCAACACCTGTAAGAGAACCTGAACTTGACAGCGCCTCATCCTCAGTCCTTCTATCCCTCCTCTCTCAGCAAAATCTGAACATCAGGGTCATTGTGCCCATTCGCTGCAGTAGACGCACCCCAACAAGGCGCATCCCACCAGGGCATCCCACGGCCTCGAGACACTGCATAAAACTGAATCATAAATGACCCTTTGAAAGATAAGCATTATTCATTTATTTTTTAATTCAACCCCAATTACCTTTCCAGGTTTTGAAATTTTAAAAGGTTTAGCCCTGTTTTATTGTTGCTGCACTGAAAATAGCAGAACACGCTTTTGCTGGAGAAGTGGTTTAACAGCAGACTTGCTACCCCACGTGATGGGCTGGCTACAAAAGCTGCACGTGTAATAGGTGGCAGACCCCAGAAAACCTGGAGAACTGAACACATAATGATCCTAATGGAAAGATAGAAATGAAAATGTGGATAGAAAACAGTAGATAAATGGAGGAGGTTTTTCCCTACGTGATTCTTTAACTCTCCATTGTCCTCCCTTACCTCTCCCTTCCCTTTTGCTCTTTCTGATTTTCTTACCAGTTTTGTTTTGATGCATGCCACAAACACCCAGGTTTTGAGAACCTTGGGTCTAGTGGGTAAGAAGACAAGCACAATGCTCAAAGACAAGCACAACACTCTTTTCTTTGTAGACTTTTTTTTTTCTCTGATATGAAGTGCTTTTGTATTATGTGTTTGAGAAACGAGAATGTGTTTGATTTGTTGTTTGAGAAAGGCAGCTTAATACAGTTTTAAACAGTTTAATAGACAAAAAATTCATGAAACAAAATTCCCCAATATTTTGTCAGTAAATGGTTAAGTGCTGAAGCAAACCTATTGGCAGAAATCAGTAACTGAAGCATGAATTAATTTCTGCTGCACATCCAGCGACGCTTGTGGTGTTATATTAAGGATGAATTTGGACTTCGGTTTAATCTCCTCTGGGACTGCTCAATTATGAAGGGTTTTGAGATGGCTGTCCTAGACCAAACAAGTATTCTGTCTGCTGGCAGGCAGCGCTCCGTCAGGACTCTTACCTGTAATAAGTTTCATTCACCATTTGGCCCCACGGAGGGAAATACCCCATGGGCGGGCTGCAAGGTGATCATGTCCTTGCTCCCCATCATCGGGCGGCCTCTGTTCTAGCAAGCTCTTTCACTGAAGGCCTCGTCCATTATCTACCACCCATAAAGCTAACAGAGAAAGACAAACACTGCAGAGCCTGAAAGCAGGCTGTTAGTGCTGTGGGTAACACCAAATTAAAGCCTGAACTGGATATCTCGCTGGGCAACTGGGAGAAGTCCGTGCTCTGAGCCGACCCGATGGTTGGTAAAGACACAATGAGCAACTGGCACTGTGCTGCACCAGCATTCATCAGATAAAACAATTAAATATGTGTAAATCGTCGGGCATAACAGAAGTGGAGTCATGGTGAGAAAACACGGCTGTACGATCGGCGTGTCATGCTTTGAAAAGTAATCCCCTCTCTGCTTCTCTGCTCCAGCTTTGCCTCTGTATTTGCACTGGGGAAGCTTCTGACATCGAAACCATTGCCACTATCTCATAGCTAAAGGTCTTTATTCTGGTGAAGGTAATAACTTAGGCTCAGAAGTAACTAAGCTCACATCTTCTTTATCTCACTCATGCAAATAGATGTGTTGACTTGACTATGACCACTCCAACAGGTAGGATGAGCAAGGGGTTTGGCCAAAGGGTAAGTACTTAAACACTGAGAACAGTTTAGGCACTGTCGGTCCTCATACATAGTAAATATAACTTAAGAATCCATACTGTTGCTAAACTTGTGCTAAAATCAGTGAGGTTATATGAGAAAATAATTTGGTCCTTCATCATTTGTGCATTCTCCATCCCAAAACATCATCCTGGACATTTTAGAAGAAAAAAAGACTCACTGTCTTTGGTACAGCAGAGACCTTTGTAATTAGAAGATAAAAATTGTGTCCTATTAGAGAGATGTTAATGTCTTGCATATTGGTTTTAACGTTAGATTGGTACCACTAAGTTGTATTTCTTTATTAAAAACCATGAGATCCAGTTAATTTCTTAACAGAATCTCACATGAGTGCTCTTACATGTTGGGAAGAAAAAAAATAAAAAGGAAAGTAGAACTTTCCTTATAGTAACTTCTACGGAGTTCACTCTAAACCCAATTAGCTATTAAAATTTCACATTAACAACTCTGTTTTCTAATTCTGACACAAACTGATTATTTTTTGTTTGTTTGTTTGTTTTAAAGGATAGCTGACAATTTCTTTTTGTGTGAAGGATGCACGGTACCCCGCTGGCTACTATACGAAATGTATATCGAAAACTGCAACCCAGGTGCCAAGGATAAAGTAAATTCAGCCACCTTTGGAAAGGTACCGAGTAGACAGGATATATAAGATAAGAAGCTGAGATACTCAAACAGAAAATTGGATAAGTTTGTATCAAATATGCTCATTGCATACCAAGAAAGATTAAATAATAGAGAAGGGTGCTTATGTAATGTATTTTGCTGTAATAGGACAATTCAGCCAAAGAGCTTGGAGAAGGTTGTATTTGAAAGCTTCTGTATAGTCCTTCATACCTCTTTGGTTTATTTGGAGAGTTGCATCACTCTTTTATTTTCTGTGGCAGTTGCACAGAGATTTGTGTTGAGCTAGGAATGGCAGCTATGCTTGTGTCTTTGCTAATATATTTCTGGTAAGCTCTCCCAATATATTTTAGAAGGCTTTACCGGAGTAAACTGTGCCAGGTTAATAAACCAGTCCTGAGGAGCTGATTCTTCTGTCCTTAAAAGACCCCTTTGTTTGTTATGCTTTAGTGTTTAATTATACTTAGGGAGGTTTTACTCCAACCACACACACAAAGGTCTTTACAGAATCATCCAGGCAAACTAAATGCAGATGCAAAACCCAATCTCCTTTAAACAGTTACACTCTCCTAATAAGTGGAAGCTGATACAACCCACAGGGCAATCACTACTTAGAAACCCCAATTGCAGCAAACACTTACAGCTATTAAACTTTATTTAGCCAATTAAGGAAAACAGAATGGCTTGCGATTGTTTGCTGCTCAGAATTTTTGTTCAGAGTTTGTTATTTTTACTGCTAATATTCTCTCATTAGTGCCCATAGCAAGAGCTACTAAGCATTGTTTTAGAAGAGAATGAAAATAATACAAGTAAAGGAGGTAGCAATCAAATTTGGAATCAACTGAAATCAATTTTCAAACCTCATTTTAGGACTCATTTATCTCAATTCAGTTGAATATATATATATATATATATATATATTTACTGGGTAAAAGTTAAGTCACTCTTACTTAGATTGGAGTGAATGATGCAGCGTGATGGACTCAGCACAGCTCAATGGATCACCACCCATCAGCCAAACCCACGGCAGAACTTGTCCGTTTTGGTGGAGATGTTTGCCATTGCAACCCATCACCATCTCTCGGTAGTCAATGGAGAGAAATAAATAGTTACACATGATTCCTCTCACCCTAAATGAGTCAGCTCAGGTGAACTGCACCTCAGAACTGCCTGTTTTTCTTTATTGACTATGGAGTCTGCAGTGACCAGCTTACACATCTCTACCTGGTAGCCCAATAGGTGAGATGAATCCCATCCTGTCTGTGCGCTTTCAGGTGCGCCAGCATGATTGCCTTACCACCAGTAAGCTAAGCCTTCTTGTGGTTTAGGCTAATGCACTTTTCAGCTGGGACAGGCAGGGCTGAAGCATGAGTCTCGTCACGCAGAAGGGCTTAGCTGATGAGCCATAGCTGCTGTAGGTCGGTGCTCACAACTGTTTGCTCGCAGCCTTGGCCTAACCAGCTCCTTGCGGTGCAGGTGAGCAAGCTGGGGGGCAGCTCCCCGATGTCTTGAAATGGTTGGTGTGTCCTGCTATAGCGAGAGGTAGCAGCGAGAGGCTGAGGGGAGCAGGAACTGCAGCTCCGCGGGTTTCAGCCGAAGGTGCACGTGTAACCAGTTACCAGAGGTTGGCTAGTAGGCTGAGCTATTAATAATTCACCAACCTGTAGCAACCTGACCACACTACATGACTGTGAGGATTTTAGCAATCAAGCCCCGTGTGAATCAAGCTGCGGTCATTTAAGACTGCACTAATTCGATCTGCTTGATCACTCTGCCCAAATATATCCCTGTTTCCAGAAGAGCACTGCTAACACTGAGGCTGCAGGTTGGTGTGTGTTAGGGAAACCTCTCCTCGAGTGGGCCTGAAGGCCAACAAATCGCACTTTGCACAACGTCTAGACATTGTGCTGCTGAGTGGAGGCTCCCCTTGCTCAACACCAGCATTGCACACTCGATCCTCTCTCTCTTCCTGCTGTATGGTTAGCTCCAGCCACCCCTGGCTACGCTCTGTCTTCACAGGATAGCTCATGCAGAATAATCATGGTGAAGTGGGTTATTGCCCCGACAGTATCTTATTATTCTGCAGGGCTTAACCTTGGCAGATGCTGCGTGACCTCAGCTCACATTTACCACGGGGGTGGTCAAAAGGTCGCTCTGCAGCTCGGTGATGCAGCCTCTCAAACCCAGATAAGTCAGACCCCAGCCTTGCACGAGCGAGTGGGCTGCGTGAGTAAACCCTGCTGGGATGAGTAAGGCTCGCAGGGCTGGCCGAGGACTGGAGAGTCACGGCACTTTCACAGGCCCCCAGCCAGACGTGCTCTTGCAGATCAAGTTCCCCCGGTTGCTGCACCCACCAGGCTGTGGGTGGTCTCCCGCTGTGTGCGCTGGGTGTGCTTCGGTGCGAGCGAGGCAAAACAAGCTGGTCTAAAAAAATAAAAATAAAAATTCCTACCCGAGGGAGGTAATCCCTTAAATTACTTAGATTTCGATCCGCAAAAGCCTGATTGAGTTCAGTTCAGCAGTTACCATTTGAGAGGTATGTAAGGACAGGTATTAGCCTGCAAGTCGTGGAAAGCAAAAGAAATGATTAAGGAGAAAAAAATGTAGTAGATACGCTTTTGTGCTTTAGAATGATTTTGCTAAGTAACTGTAATTTTCTCTTTTATTTAGCTTATTCGGTTAGTTTTCCCGGGTCTGGGGACAAGAAGGCTGGGCACAAGAGGCAGCGCCAGGTATTGGTTTAGCTTTCTTTGTTTAAAAAATGTTATGTGTAACTGTTCTAATATTTTTTTTGTAATGTAATTTTTCAGCTCCAGCACTAATACAGCAGCTGAATATTTGATTTCAAGTCCGTCCCAAATTGCAAAAACAGACCCAGAGAGATTCGTGATGTCACCACATACATGAAGATAGAGTTAATTCCACAAAATCCACCACATCAGAGCAGCTCCACTAGCATATGAGTTGCAGATAACACTAGCTCTCAAAAAATCAGTGCTCGGAGTTGTCCTTGCTTTAACAGCTGGGCTCATGTGAGGCAGCTGCTGGACCTCACAGCTTTCCTCAATGCTCCTGGGACACGGTGTCCAGGATGCTTGGGGCTGGGCAATGTGGAGCAGGCAGCAGTGGTGTATGTGCTTGCAGGCACAGAGTGCTCATCCTTGCACGTATCTGTGCCGTGACCCGGAGGGTACTGGTGGTCAAAAGAACTGTTGTACACAGCATAAAACCAGATAAATCAGATCAGCCCAGATCTGATCTCCTCCTCCATCTCCCTTCCCTCTCTTCCTCTAGAGCACAGGCAGGAGGACTGAGATCGATACACTTCCATTGATTCACTGTCCAAATATATAATCACACTCTGAACATCCAGACTGGAAAAGGCGCTGTTTTAAGGGCACTGAGACGCAGTAATTTCACAAGCCTTTGGAGCAGCTGTAACGCACTGGCTTGGCGAGTGACATGCCCTTGCTTGATCTGTGATTTTTCTCCACTAGTCTGGGCTTGCTATCAGCTTGATCCGGCGAGACCCAGCGTTTTGGGAGTGCCTCGCCACAGATGCTCCCGGGCTTCGCCTGGTGCGCGGTGGCCCTGGGCCTCCCACCGGCAGCAGGTCACCATCTGGTGGCTGCTGAGGGCCAGACACCTCCCTGGCCACCCTGCAGCGGGCGGTGATGCTGTCTGGAAAGGCTCCTGCAGAACCCGCTGGTGGCACCTGGCTCCCACTGTTCACCAGGATGGGCATAAGACCATAGCAGGTCTTGCGGGTTTCTTGCTTTTAGCTTCCACCGATGGGCCAACCAGTCCGTAAGCTGGTGTAAAGCACTGCGCTGCAGCTGCACGCAAGCCTTTGGCTTCAGGGAAACTATCAGCTGAGACTCTGGACCCCAGCTTCTCCAGTTGTCCCATGAAAACCTGTTGCGTCATGTGTGCTGGCTTTACAGTTCTTCATTTAAAAGAAGATATTATTCTGGGAAAAAAAAAATGTTAAAAAATCTTGTAAAGTCATTCTAGAAACATTTGTGCAAGTACCTTGCATCAGGGAAATAAATTTTAATCAGAATTTTTAAAAACGCAGAATATAAAAAATAAATGTACCTTTTTTTATACTTGCTCTTTTCTTGCTTAAATTTGCTTTCAGTGGAGGAATATGAATTCTTTGCTGACTCTCCTGAAAATCACAGGCTTGTCTGTTGATCAGGTTTTTTTATCTTCTAGGTATCACTATGATGGAATAGCTATCAAGAAGAACTCTTCCTTTTATGCACGGTATTGCTTTCTTCTGTCCGAAAAAAAATATCTCAGGTTTGTTTTCTAAATGTTTTAATCATAAAATATCACCTGACAGTCTATATATCGTCTGCATTTAGAACTCTGTAAACCATCTGCTGAACATTGTCAACAGTATTATTATTTTTTCTTTCTCTTATACACTCTATAGAAGGCTGTTCCAGTGAGTAATGTCCCTTCTAAGGAAAATCCATCTTGACAAAGTGTCCTGCCTTATTGAATTTCCTCAAATTGGATATTTTAGACATGTAGGTCTTAAAAACAGGAACACTCACCAAAACTAAAGGAGCATTATACATAGAGACTCTAAATTGGAGCTCAAATAAATGTACTGACAATTGCTTCTTGACATTGTAGCAACCTCCTTGGTAAACAGTAGGGTGAAGAGATATGTATTAAAGTATAAATGACTGCACTGTTTTGAAGAGTCCTACGTGCAATCATGTTATCTGGATTTTGCTACTTGAAAAAATGAGGCATATTACTTTGAAAATGCTTCCCTTGTTTTGTTTTAAAATTTCAGATTCTAAAATCACCACTTGTAAGAGAACAGCAATGAGAAAATGTATAAGGCAGGAGTGGAAATTGATTGCAAAAATGGAAATCTAGAAATAATTGATGAATGTAGGATACTGAGGCAAGCTAACTGTAGACTTGATCACATCCCAGTTGCAGGCAGGGCGAGGAAGGTCATGGTTGAGATAAACAAGCTACAGACTTGCATTTCTCCAGGAGAGAAAATAAAAAGAGGAGATGTGTGTATGAATGGATTCTGTACTTTGGTTTCCATTCTTTTAAATGGGGTTATAGCAGCTGTCTGTAGCATGAGTGTTCTAGGGATACAAGAGAGGCTATTAAGCACCCAGATATTCTGGCTATTATGAAAGCTGTTTCACTGTCTGTGGTACTTTGTAGTATAGTTACTTAATTGAATACACACTCTGCAAGAGAATGGAAAAATTATCCCTGCGGGTTTGCTGCCTGTCTTTGCTGGCTTTACAGTGGAGCCATGTTGCAGCAGTCCATAGAGTGACAACAGAGCAAGGATAAAGAAAGGGCAGGGCAAGGGATCAGGTTCTGTACATGATCAAGTGGCAATCAGTTGTCGAGTCCAAAGAAATTATTCATAGGCAACTCGAGGCTCGTTTCAAATGAGATCCTTGCTGAAGTGACATCCCTATCTATCAATGCACTCAATATTAAAATAAATTTTATTCAGACAAAACTAATCTTTCTAGTTGCAATTCTCTTGAGAGTTGTAAGTCTCTTAACTATGGAAGTATTTTGTCTGATGCTTCCTTCATTTCAGCTCTTGTGTGAAGCCAGACAGCTGTAATTAGAGCAGCTTCCACTCTAAATACAGCCAGTGCCCCTGTCCAGAGCCAGCCTGAGCACCAGCAGCCCCTGGGCAGTCAGGTGCAACTACTACTTCTTAGGGTCTGTTAATGGACAGCGGAAGAAAATAGAAATCAGTAAAAACAATCAAACAAACAAAAACTACAACAGCAATAAAAGTCAACAACAACAACAAATCAAATGCAGCTGGAGAAGCATGAGCACCACTAATCCACCCCCCAAACCCCCAAATAAAATAGGCCACATACAAAATAAGCAGCGGTCTTGGCCATCTAATTCAATTTAATTCCATCAGGTTGTATATGCTTTGCAAATAAACAGGAATGCATAAGAAAATACCTCATCTTTACTGCCTTCTCTGTAGGGGTCAATACTTTTAGAAACATGAATTAATTTTATGTGATCCAATATAACAAGTATTATATATTGGGGGTATTTAATCCATAAAGCTTCAATCTGTAAGAGCGTTTTGGTATGGAAATTTCCAGCTAATAGTGAAGAAGATTTTGAATATGCCATTGCAGTGCAGCCCAAATGCTGGTCCGTGGACCAGACCCAACAAGTGGGATAGACCTTACTGGCTTGTTGCCATTCCCCTCTGGCAGAGATGGGGGTGTTTCTTTGAATAGTGAACAAGTCCCAAATGACTGCTGTCTCCTCCCATGCCTGAATCGAGGCCCACATGCAGGTGCTTCTCCTGTAGCATCTACCTGAGGGGAAGGTGGAGCTGAAAGCCCAGCTGAGAGACCCACGCATCCACCCAACCTTCAGGCTGTCAAAGAAAGGGCTGGTTTCTGAACTGTACTGAAAACAGTGTTTCTTGACCCTATTGAGATCGTCACTTGCCAGGTTGCTAGTAGCAAGGAACTGGGCCTGTGAAGGGTCTGGCAGGTTGGGAGCTTTGCTTGTTGGTGTCACAGAAATGGCCATAAGATTATAACAGCTTACCTTTGCCTACAAAGAGGCGTTTGCCTTTTGATAGTCAGTGGGCCCTTGGATGTGTCAGGGTGCTGGCCTGGAATGAGCTCACAAGAGAAGTGAAGAGGATACTCTTACAAAGCACCTGTGAGCTGCTCTGCTTTGAAATCTAGAGGGTTTTTGAGGATATGTATACTGTAACTCTGATGATGATGTGGAAGTAGTGTAAACAAGCAAAGCTGTAACCAAAGGGGTCTCCAAATACATTATAGGAATTTAACAATTTACATTACACTAGGGTGTCTTTGGAATGGGAACTTTGAGAACGAGGTCTCCCTAAAATGGCAGCTGCTGTGGCAGAGCAAGGAGGCTTGGAGTATGGCAATACTGTATGAATGCCAGCAAATTTTGGCTTCGTGAGAGTTACATGTACTTTATGATCTAGTAGTGGGGAAGGCTTAGGCCTCTGACTTTCTAGTGAAGCAAACTTGTAATTGTCCTATAAAAAAATCACATGTGACTCTGGGAAATTATCCTTTCTAACGTCAGAGTAATCCAAAAGTCACATTCACCACACTTCTTCCTTTCATTTTTCCTTTGTCTCTCCTGCTCTCCTGTCAGTCTTCATGTCATCCCTATCTCTGCGTCTCCCCCTTCAGCTCTAGCTTCCCCTTCCCAGCACCATCCCAGCCCCATCGGGAGACACAGCTGAACCCCCTGTGGCTCTGCTGTATCACATTGCAATCTCTTTTCACCCACTTTCCATGCTGTGTGCCCTGTCTCTGCCCAGGCACAGCTCTCCAGGGGAGGTGATGGCCGCTTCTGCATGGGAGCTGAGCACCCCGACGGGCAGCGGGTGAGTCCAAAGGCCCTCTGCTAGCAGCGGGATCACGCCCGTGCTCGCCTTAGCTAGCAAGTGTGGGACAAGAGCTGGCAGATAGGGCTCCCAAGGGATCTGTGGGGTGTGGGAGGAAGAAGGCTACCACCCAACACCCTCCCCACACATGGGGAGAAGGGAGCCGGGCGGCCCACTGAGGGAGAGCGGCGCTGAGAGGTGTTGCCATAGCAGCAGAAGGGCCGCCTGCTCCGGGAGAGCAGGGACTGGAAAACGTTTGTTAATTTTGTTCCACGGGCTTTAGCAACCCACAAGGACAAGCCATTTGGTGGAAGTACTATGAAACATACTCATTTAACCATTCTTATGTTTATGGGGACCGAACACACGCAGTACTGACGTGCCTGGCCTTTGGCAGGCAGAGAGCAAGGTGGCAAGGGTCAGCCCCATGGACAGCAGAGCATGAGGGGGCACGTTCAGTGCCTTGAGTTCCCACATGGATAAGCTGGCATTTCTGTCTTCTGCCCCTTCAGGACGTGCAACGGTGCCCTGGTTTATCAGGCCTCACAGCAGTGAAAGCCCACGGTCAGCAGCACACAGGCTGCGTCCTGTCAGAGGGCCTGGGTGCTGGCAGTCACCGAGGGCTGCATGCTTCCTGCAAAGCCCCGACTGCCACCCCTCAAAACAGGGGAGGCCACGAGGGCCCTGGTGCTCAAAATGTCCTCAGAGGCTTCGAGCAGGCGTCAGCAGAGCGGGGCAGCTGGGGGGATCCAGTTCTTGCAGCATGTCCCTTTTCCTAGCAGCATTGCCTCTCTCTCCTGCAGGACCAGCCTCGGCAAAGCAGGCATGGGGAGAGGGAGGGTGGGGATGATAAAGCAGGAAAGCAGCCCACTGCTCCCCCAGCATGGGTTTTTCAGCCCAAAGCCAGTTGTCAGGCCTTTGCGAGGCCATGTGAATGCTGATGGTGTGGAGCACCGTGGAAGTCTTGCAAAGTACATGAGGGACTGTCAGAAAAAAAAGTCATCTAAACTGATAAAGGGAGCAGAAAATGGGGCCATTGTGAAATCAAAGCACACGGATGATTATGCTTTCATTGTTTGCTTGTCTATAATTTTTATTATTCCAAATGAACTGCAACTACAACTACAAAATCATGTATAATGTACAGGAAGTTGGAAGATATTTGGAAGATATTGCTCTGTTAAATGGCTAATACCTTGCTGTCTGTGTAAAGAATAGCTCAGTTTTATCTTAAAAAGAAGAAATTAGTCTTCAGATTCATTAGAAAATCCTGGGGCTGCTGAATGACAGGAAAGAGAAGGTTTTTTTGTTGTTTGTTTTTTTTTGTTGTTGTTTTTTTTTTTCACAAACCCACTGCTGTCTACTTCATCCTAGTGCTCTCTATCTATCCACTTGGTGATAATTTTTTTAGCTGAATGCAGAAAAAATTGGTGTGCTTTTTTAAATGGGTTTCATGTTGTATATTTCACCACAGTGGAGATGCCTGCAGTTCGGCAGATGCAGCTGGTTACACGAGCAATGGCCAAAAAATAGGAACAGTGAGTTTGAGATAAATTAGACTTAGAATAAAATGGTTTTCTGTCTATTTAGTTAGAACTGCTATATAAAATGTTCTAATGAAATGCAATTAACCCATCATAATCCATGAAATAATTTTTGTCTGCGTAACCTCACTAGATGCTTACTCCCCCTTCTCTTGTTTCACCTGGCAGCTAAGTATTTTTATTGTCTAAATGTTAGCTGAAATAATTTTATCTATACTGAGAGTGGAAACTGTGGCTGACTGCCCAGGTTTTGAACACTGGGGGAGTTGGTGGAGCACAGCCTTCCTTTTCTGAAACCCACTGTTACAGCCCCTCATGCTGCTGAGACAGTGTCCCTTCAATCACCGTGAGGTTACTGTCACAAGGGGTCTTTAAAATACTGTGATTAAGAAAAAGAAACAGCGTCCCTGCTCACCAAAAGGGGCTGATGCTCGGCTAACCCCTGGCAGTTCTCAAATATGTGCAGGGTAATGAATTGGCATGACACTGGGGTTGCTGGAAGTCAGCCTGCAGAGCAGGAGCAGCAGAATTATGGGGATCAAAGTGAGGAAAATGAGAGACTGGGTGTCTTTCTTATTTTTGCAGAGCAATCAAACACAGTAATGAGTACACTGAAGTGCATGTAACGACAGCTGATGAAAACCATGCTGCCATCCCTATAGCAAAGCCAACTAACTTTAGCCTTATTTAGGAGGCTTCTACTGCGAAATGAGTGCTATAGAAAATATATGTGTAAGATATGTATAGCATTAAATATTCACTTGCTTTGGAAGGAAATTCATGTACTATTTGGAATTTGAACATTTAGTCAACCTTCCTATTTCTTTCAACCACCCATACTTTCTATAAAAAAAATACATTTTATTAAAAAATAATGTTATACAACAACAGAATGTACCTTTAACAGGGGTGACAAGATAATTGTGATTCTTTTTAATCGTTTAAAATAAATTCTGATGCATTGAGGGACAGGATTTGCACTATTTTCCGTTGGTCACTTATTTGAAGACTGAAGAAGACAGATTTGAGTACCTTTTGCCTGAATTCAGGACAGTCTATCCTTGGGAGCAAGAGTTAGCGAAGAAATACCCCTATGAAATGGTACGTTTACGTATTCAGTAATCAAGCAAGTAGCTCGTTGCCTCTGTGATCTTTTTGTACAATCTTTTTGTTCACCTTCTCCAGGTTGTACTGCTTGCAAATGAGTACAATAACTACTGCCAAGTCCTTTTACAGGTTGTGAGAATGGAGGAGCTTGACAAGGTATGTCTTTGCTTCAATAACACTCGTGGTGTCAGCAGACATCTATAAAAATGAAATTGTTTCTTTGTAGCTCATTTAGCTGATGGTTTTATCTAAGGTAGATGATCATTTATAAACAAAAGGAGCATTCAGTCCGATTATTCTGGACTTCTTAATTAACATGACCTGCTCTGACTATTTGATGTTGTAGGCACAAAGCACAAGGCCATGGACACATATTTCTTATTGTATCTACATATCTGTGCTACAATTTGTTTCTCTCCTCTTTCTCATGCTGCCTTGCCAGGTTCAGCATGCTGCCCCAGGATGCTCCCTCCCTGGAGCCAGCCTGGCTCCAGGACTATTCTTTTGCTTCTGTGCTAACGTGTGTCATTTCACTGAGTCACAATTCACATTTCACTGGCATAAAATTGGTGAAAATTCATTAACACATTTTGTGCAATAGGTGGAAGGCTTCATCGTGTCATTCTGGAAGTCTCTGCAGCCTGAAAAAATAGCATTTATGTCCTTGCCAGATGTGTGCGAGCTATTCAAGTGCTATGATAGGCAGCTATTCCAGGTACTGTAGACGTGTTTCTTGTAATTATTTTGTGTTTGTGGTTTTTTGCTAGCTCTACCTGAGAAAGACCAGCTGTTTATTGTGTGATGTACAATGGCATTCTATTATATATAAATATATATATATAATAAATATATATATATATATAAATATATATATGTATTTAATTTTGAGCCGGCACTGTTTGGATTTTGAAAGAATCTAGTGGAATTTGGGACAACTGCCACTTTGCTGCCATATCTTCCCTTGAAAGTCCCTAAGATCAATGGAGTATGCTGTTATAAATGTGGTCTGTGGTTCTGGCATGAGGATATGTGACTGAAATTCTGACTGATAGCTGTTTTCTAAACCTGAAAGGAGTTATTTTTCCTTTGATAACACTACTGAATTTCTCAGTGACATTCCACATTGACATACGGAGCCTTCTGCTCAAAATGATTTGCTTCTTATTCACAGCAGGTCACCAAGCAGTGTCCAGTAATTAATTCAGGAAATAATGCTTGCTGCAGGATCTCATTCCTTCTGCTAATAAATGTAGCTTAGTTACTGCTTTAAGTGGAGGAAAAGAATGGTCTTTTTTCACGATTTACATTTAAGCCATCAGTACAGTTTTATTTCATGCTGCCATAAACACCTGTAGTACACCACTCGTGCAGCTCCATTCATTTGTATTGTAGGAAATGGAGAACATTCTCCTTCGTGACTTCCTGGAGGAGGTGTCTGTGCAGTACCTGAAGACAATCAGACTGTTCAGTAAAAATGTTAAACTCTGGCTGCTTAATGCTTTGGAAGGGATGCCAGTGCTGCTCCAAACAACCAAATATAAAGGTATGTAAGTAACAGAGAGATTTCATAAAATAATCTTTGCTTAAACCGCAGAGAAGATTGGGTTACAAGACTCTTACAGAAATTATTTAAGAAACTCTTTTAGCTGACGTAACCTTGAGAGTAGCGAGGGCTACAGTTGGCATACAGTTAAAAATAAATGGTCTCAGATGACACGAGAAAACAAATTTAAGCCCAAATTATTCCAAGATCATGGTAAATTAAAGTGTACTTGAATCTTTTTAAAGATATGTCTTTTGCCATGATCACTTTGACTGTGTTGATGATGAGGAATAATAAGCACCCTGCCCTCGAAATTTAGGTATTCTTCTGTCTCTTTACCTTACAAGTGGTTTTATGTAGATAAATTAATTAATGACTATTGGGCAGTTCAATTTAAAGTGAAGAAAAAAAAAAAAAAGGAAATTGACTCTGTCATTAGAGTAGGATTTGAAAAACTGGTAATATACAAAGGTGTGTGTTTGTAAATATGTACGTACATGCATACATTTATGTATGCAAATATGTTCATGCATACGTAATGTTCAAGGACAGGTTGGATAGGGCCTTGGGCAATCCGATGTGGTGAGACGTCCCTGCCATGGCAGGGGGTTGGAACTAGGTGATCTTTAAGGTCCCTTCCAACCCAAACCATTCTGTGGTTCTGTGATTTATACCTTATGCTGAAGAATCTGGCTGAACCAAAATGCTGCTCAGTTGCTCACTGGGTGAGAACCATCTCCGCAGTGACAAAGCAGGGCTCCTGCATAGACACAGGGCTGTGTTCGTATTCATCTGCTTAATAATGACTTGCAGTCAGTCTTAATTCTGGCAGTTCTTACATTTAAATGCTTGGCAAAGCAAACTCAGTAATCTGCTTTTAACACATTTGTGTGCATGGAAGTGCATGTAATTAACCAGCTACAACCCCTTTTATGCACATCCAGGACTGGGTTTGTAAAAACGTCAGAGAAATAGAAATTTTCACTTGGAAACCATTGCCCATCTGCAAAAGATTTTAAGTTGTTTTATTCTTGATTTTCCTGCAACTGAGAATCAGTTATTTTAGATTTTATTCCTAAAAAGGATATTCCTGGACCATGCTTTTCATAATTCCAACACATTATAGACAGGAGCAAATACAGCAACAGAAATCAGGTTTTATTAACAATTCTGAAGAATTATAGATACATAAAAGTGAAAAATGTAAACTCTCTAATCAAAAAATAGAAGGTTTAGAATTAATGTTGCCATTAGTCATCTGAAACCACACACATAAAAGAATATTTCTCTTGCTTTCTTGCTTGAGAAGTATTTCATGGAAAAAAAAAAAAAAAAAAAAAAAAAAGAAAAGTATTTTTCCTGTGCGTCACGGGCTGACAGGTTTGCAGTGAAGGAAAAGTAGTAACTTGGGCAGCTGCTGCTTGCAAGCCTTAAATTGGCAGGGTCCCCAGCATAGAACGCATCTCGGTTACCTCCATGTGCCCTGAGCTCGCCTGTTGCTCCCTGAGGGGTCTGCTTTCTCACTTAAGAGATCTGTCTTCGTTAATGTCTTTAAGAGCGTAAAATATTAATGATATGAAACATCTGCCTCTTCTTCTTTCGCAGAAGTCACACTGTTTATAAAAAGACTCAGGAGAAAGACAGATCTTTCTAATATGGCCAAGGTATGTTCTAGAGTCCATGAACCAAAAAAGCTGGGCATCTCACTCACTCCAGAAGCCCATCTGCAGATGGGATTATTTACGAGATGCTCCGCTGTAGCAGAACAACAGCAGCACAGGTGTTCTTGTCTGTATACCGACTGGTCCAAATCATGCTCCTAATGGTCTAAATCACCCTCCTACACACCTCTGCCCTCATAGTGTGTATCCCTCTTAGAGTGAAAGCCTCTGAGGTATGGTTAGTGGTCCTCCACGGAGAGGAGAACATCACTGTAGCTAGAAGGATCAGGTGAGACACGGGAAACCACTGATATATTGCTTGCAGTGAAACTGCATGGTCTCAAGGTCTGTAAGGGCACAAGGCCTTGAGCTTTTTCATGGATCTCAGGGATCAGGTGGCAAAACCTTGTCCATCCTCTGAGCAGACAGTGCTGGAAGGAGCGCTGCAGGGAACTGTCCTCTGAACTTTACTCCTCAGGGCATCGCTTTATTTCTGGGGAAGAGAGAGACAAAATACATGTATATCTAATATCTCTGTCTACTTTTTGCTCTCCGGTATCATTTTTCTCAGCTACAGTGACAAATGAGATGCATCAAGGAGCTGTGCCCTTTGAACACTGCGAAGTAAATTGCTTCGTTAACCTGTACTTACTGCTGCGCTATTTTGATGGGCTGTGCCCTCCCTGCAGCATTCCTTCCATTGCTGTCCTTGGATCCTAAACCTTGTTTTTTTGAGGTAGCCCAGGCCACAACAGAACAGATAGGTCACAGTCAACATTTAATTTACACCCTCAAGATTTAGGGCAAGAGAGTTTTACCCTAACTGGGGGGAATTTTACCCTAAGACCAGCGGCAGCTTCTAGCTGCTTGTTCACTTTGCACTGTTTAACCAACACAAAGTGAACCTTGTGGACCTGAGAAACTGTGTCAGATCTGTACTTTCAGCTTGAGCACACTCTCAGCCTGGTTCTTCTTCATGATTATGAGCTCCTCACACCATTTGCACAAGGAAATGGTATTTGCATCTTCTCGAGAGCCTCTTTAAAATGCAAGAGAAGGTCAAAGGAGCTCCAGTGTAATCAATGTTTAGTCCCATTGGCAATTTAAAAACAATAGCTTCAACAAGTGAATATATGAAAGTCCTGTAAATCAACATCCCCATAATCTTTCAGCAGTTACACAGCCTCAGTTATACCTTCTGTTAGGGACCTTACCATGTAGCTATTTATACTGGGCTCCAGTGAAACAAATACCAGATAAGGATTATCCTGCAAAATTACCCCCCTGCCTAATGCATACCAGACGATGGTTAGCTGGACACCGTGGGTGTTTAACGTTTTCAGCAGGTGAGAAACACACAGGTGCTTCATGGGGACGTGGATGTCACTCAGAGAAAACCACAAAGTGTTTCAGTCGGTCAGACCAGACCCTAGGTCTGCGTGGACCCGTGTCCTGTTCTCAGATGCTCAGGTAGAGTAGGTATGCATAGAGCAAATGATACCCTACTCTTTTGCCATTGTACTCTCCAGGCTTACCAGCAATCTGAAAGGAAGGTTGTATCCACATTCTTTCATCTAATAGCTTGGTTTGGGCATTCATAACGTCTTGGGGTTGTGAGTCCCAGGACTTGATTATTTCTTGTGTGAAAAAGCATTTTCTTTCTTTAGTTTTAAAATTTGTGCCCTTCTTCATGCAATTCTTCGTGCAGACCTCTATCACATCCTTTCTTGGTTATTTCTATCTTAACCTGACATTTAATTTTCTTGTATGGGAGCCTAATCAGCCTTCTTGGTTTTCTCTGTCTGAAAAGCACGTTGAATTTCAACCAGAGACAGGTGGTCAAAGCAGGTGACAGTGCTCCTAATGAGAAGTATTATTGAGGAACTGTGCAGCTGCAGCTTCAGAATGGTGTAAACACACTGTCCCTTGTAGAGTACTTTGCAATAATTTAGCCACCTGGTGAGAAAATCTGAGCAATTTTGGCAGGGTCAGCATTCAGAAGAAAAAAAGTAACTTTCCCATCATGTGGAGATAAAGCAGGCTGACATCTGCTACTACCTGGATATACAGAAGTAATTAGGGTATAAAAAGGAACGAATTCCCTGTGAGAAAGGAATTTGAGTATAACACGTGTCATTTCCTGGGGCTGATTCCTGCCTCTGGTAAGCTGTATTTAAGTGCTGTCAGGGCTGGCTCTCAGTCAGTTGGAGTATCACACTCAGTACACAGAAGTGCAGTGGGTAAAAAACACTAAATACATTTCTAAAACACTCGAACACGGAGCTGGGTGCTAGCATCCTGCTGAAGGTGCTGCACCTGGTAGCTCCCAATGTTCACATTCTGTGCTCTTTGACACTGGAAACTCCACGTAAAACAAGGAAAGACACTTCGTCTTTAACTGAGCTGAAAAAGACTACCAAAGAAGTATGAGGCTGCTTGTGATATTTGAGTAATGCTAGCACAGTAATGAGGAACAAAGTTCTAGATTGGGAGTTCTGCTTGAAAACAAATGTTTGTGGGGTCACAGTAAGTAGCATTCTTTACCATGCACCCGATGAATGGGATTCGTTAAAATGTTTGTGAATCCTGAATTTTTTTCTGAACTTTACAAAAAAAAATTTTCCTCTAGAAGGCAAAACTGAAGACGAATTACTGAAATAAATGCCCAAATTCAACAATCTTTGGATCTCATAGGTTTCAGTATGAAAGTGAGAGACTAAATCTATGTATGAATCAATTTTAATAGGTTCATGTTTAATTTCCTTCATCGTTTTCCACTTAAAACATTGTCATCAGGAATCTGAAGCAATACTGTGTGATATTAACAATTAATTAAAAAAAAGAAAGAGATGAGGATCAGAAGTTAGACTGAAAATTGTCTTCAATATTGTGTAAGTAATACTTCTGGGAACAAATATAAAACCAGATTCTTCATTCACAAATGACTTAAAAGCAGAGAAATGGGACACAATCCCTACTATTATTTTAATTAATGCCATATTTCTAATCTTATTTATACCTTCTCAAGGGTTTGAGCAATTCAAGAAAACTTGTCTTTTAATTTAATTGAGACACATATTAATGATAGATGTCTTTGAGGGAAAGTTGATCCTAATATACCATTTCATTTTTTAGACAGTGTTATTTGGCATAACTAAAATAACTACAGGCAAAAAGAATTGTGCAGATACTTCGAGCATCTGTTAGTCTTGTCTGCTCCATCACAGACCTCACCACAAAGTGACATTGAAAATGGTATCACCCAGAACAAAAACACTTGAAGACAACATAAGATTCATCTCCTTTGATTCCTTTTTTATTTTTCCATTTGGAGACGGGTGATTTAATTAAAATCCCAATTCTAACTTAACATTGAATAAGAGAAGCTTTTTTGACCGAGTTAAGGGCTTGAAAAAAAAATGAAAGATATTAACTGTTTTCTTATTATCCGTAGACAATGCGAATAGTCTTGAACAACAACAGCAAAGTCACTGGTCTGAGATCAGACTTGCATGCTGTCATCAACCAGGGATTTGTGGATATGCCCGGAAACCTCTTCCGAAAGAAGTTTAGGAATCCAGATGAACTGCAGAATGACACAGAAATCAAATGTAATATTTTTGTTTCTATATTTTTCTATCCATTTAAGCCCCTGCTTGACATTGTTAAAGCTCTAGCATTTCCTTTTGTTTATTCATGGCATCTGCCCTAATGGGAATTATAGTCTTGCAATAACCCTGTATCCTGGAAAGGAGCCAATAAAATTGAGAATGGAGCATGTAATATTATCCTTTTAACTTTAAAGGTTAAGAATGAAAGGCTTTCGGTGCTGATTCTCTCTTAAAGCTCTCTCCAGCAGCAGGAGTGGGGTTTGTGTTTCTAAAACGATTTATCTTCCAGAAGAAGGTTGACAAACAGGGACATTCGCTGTTAATGCTTGTCTTTGATAAACAGAAGTTTCCAAGAACTGCATTTTCCCCGTTATTAATCAAAGTACACAAAATTACTTCCCGTGGCCAGATTTTACCTATTGTATGCTGAGCTGGACAAGGGCTCCCGACCTCTCAGCTTCCTTGCCCTTTTGCTCTACTGCGGCCTGTAGCATCAGTGCTGAGCTGTAAACACTGAAATACAGTCTGCGTGCAGCCACGACATAATGCATTTGCCGGTTTAATGAAAAGCGATGGGAACATAATGGCAAGTTAATTCTCAGATTAATGGACTGCCATTTGAATTATTAGCAAGAGGCAGGCATCTCAGACCAGGCTGTGCTCAGAACCGATGGAAGAAGCCCGAGCTCTTTGTTCCTGGCCTGCCGCCGGCACGCTCTCTGACAAGGGATGCACCACCGCCTTTCTGTGACTGCTTTCAGCAGGAATAATAATTTGCTTTGTTCGCAGAACCACCAGGAGATCCCTGCAAATAATATTTACATACATCTTCAAATCAAAAACGCCGTGCAGAAAGTTTTTATTTCATTTACTCTTTATATCAATGATTATATTTTCCAAGGTGGATTACCTGCATTTCTCTGTTCCCATTGCTTTTCCAAATAGTTATTTTTAATAAATAATGCTTCACAGGAAGGCCTCTTAGCTAGGACGGTATAGACCCTGAGGAGTACAGTTGTGATGTACCTGGTGGCACTGAGTAGCAGGTTCTAATCTTCTGGGGGAACACCTGCACTGTTTTTTGGCAATATTATCTGTATTTCCATTGAGCTACAGAATATTCAGTAATTTCTGTTATTGTTTTAAAACAGTTTCCACCCCCTCAACAGATAAAATTTCTTTTCTCAACCCTGTAAGAGCTCAGATAAGCAAGTTAGTATTGCATATAGCCATATGCCAGCTTGGATTTATGAAGTGTTTACTCTTTCCACTTTTGCCATGATGACTAGGTTGGTGCAGATATGGACATAAACTTGAATTCTGACTGATTTCAAAGCAGGGTGCTAATCACCATTCAAGGAATGGCACAGTTATATTAATCAAGATGCTATAAGCAGATGTCTTAATATATCTTAAGCCAAAGATGAAAGAAAAAAAAAAAAAAAAAAGCTAGAAACTGCAGAAACAAACCAAAAAGTAAGCCAATCACTTCAAGTAATGATCTCCTTTCTATATTTCGTAGGTTTGAATGACTTAATATCTTTGCTGGCACCTTCTACAGATATTCGGGTTCTCCTGAACTGTATGTCTACAAATCTTCAGGCTTTTATCATTGAGGTATAAAATTAATTTAATACTTTCAGAAAAGGAAGAGTGATCACACCATCTATCCCCCTACAAGCTGACTGTCAATAGTTTGCAGGAGCTACATTGTATAGCAGCAACCTGACCAGACTGCAGATTTGCATAGACACAATTTATGCATGCTGCAGAAAAAAAAAAGGGGGAATTAATTGGCATACAAAAATTCCATCTGTGCAAACAACTACAAGCCTATGTCTGTGGATATATCCACTTCGGTGATTTCAGAATCTGGTCTCATTTTGTAGACACATGCTATAATAATGCTCCCTTATACACCAAGATCCATGAGAAAAATGTTAGTATAAACAAAGAGAACACTTCATGATTCTTGGAACTGTTGACTCGTGAAACTGTTGGTTTTTAGCAGGTGGTAGGAGCGTGATAAATTCTAGCACAATGGCTCTACCTCTGGTGAAAGATTCAAGTTAGATCACCCTTGCATACAGATCTTTCCCCAGGTTGCCAACTCTAGCACCCCTCTTCAATCGGTGATCCATAATTAATGATAACTTGATGATACCACTGCCATCTGTCAGCTGGACAGAACAATGAATTTAGGGTTGAGGGTGGTTTAAGTCTTTTTTTTTTTTTTTCTTTTCTGAAGAAGCAAGATAAACTGTACTTCTTCAGCTTAATTATTTCCTGATAATTCATGTGGGTTTTGTAATTAGGATTAGCGCTTTGTAGTTCTGTGGTGCCTTCATCTCACAGACCCATCAGTTACCTCATGGGATGGTACGGAGAAGATGGACTGGGACTTCTCCTGGGGGTTCACAATTATAAGGCAATAGACACAAGCTGCAGCAAAGGAAATTTGAATAGATAAAAAGAAAACAAGCAACCAAAACCCCAAATAGCAAATACAAACAAACAAAACCCAACAACAACAACAAGCCCACAAGAATAGTTCACCACAGGAAAAGGTTACCCAGAAAGGCAGTGAATACCTTGGAGATATTCAGAACTTGTCCGGACAAGACCTGAACTAAAATGACATTCAACCTGAGTTATTTTAGGTTTCTAACCAAAAAAAAGCTGAATTTTCCACCTTCATATGCAGTTTGTGCAGGGAAATTATCTGCAACACAATATGGGATCCTTTTAACTAGCTTTATCATAAAGCATCTTTTTTTCTTTTTTTTTTTTTTTCTCTATTTGCAGCCAAGCAGGAATAAAGAGGAATTTAGGAAACTGGCAGCTGATTTCCAGTTGAGGTGGAACTTCCTATTAACGGCCGTGAGCAAGGCAATGACACTCAACTACGCAGACAGCTTTGGTGAGTAAGTGACAGCTTTGTGGCTGCCACCTGAGGCACCCCTCTGGGAGCTGAGGTGGCAGAGGCACCGGGGCACTTCGACGGACAGAAACTCAAGGTACAACCTAAAAGGGCATCGCTTCTCCGAGGTGAGCAGAAGGGAGGGCAGCAGGGAGATGCAGCTGGAGATGGTGGGAAGAGCAGGACTCCCTCTTTCGGCAGAAGCTGGCGTTTGCCTGAGGGGGAACTGCAGCCTCAGGTGTGAGCACTGCAAGGGCTTCAGCAGGAGGGTTGCTGGAGAATTGGGGCACTAATGTGCCAAACCACCAATATTCTGCATCTCCCACGTGATTGAAAACTAGTCACCCCTACAGCTGGGTTAGTTTTCTCTCTGCTTTACTGCTCGGAGCTGCCAAGCATCAAATCCACCGCACACTAGTGCAAGGCAAGAGAAGCGAGGGGGCCATGCAGTCACATTTACTCAAAGTGGCTTGAAGTGGCACAACCGTGTCTTGAATCAGCTCTGTGTTTCACTTCTATATGGCTTCAAACCTAACTGCCTTTCTCTTTATTTGGAAAACCTTTCAGAAGCTATCTGAAATATTATTCATTCTGGAGAAATGCACCGTCTCCTCTGAGTAACATCTGATCCCAGACGGCACGAATCACTTTTTAGATTTTCAAAGAAGTACCTTCATATTTTTTCCTGTTCTGTTGGATGGAGCTTCACACAAATAGCCAAAAAGCCCTCATTATCTTCTTAGAAATCCCCCTTCAAAGCTCTACTTCCCTGTGTTTTCTACAAAGACATAACAAAGGGGTATGCTAAGGTTACTGCCTTTTATATTCTTCAGTAATCTTTCCCTCTTACTGTCTATGTTTGTGCATGTATGTGCGCTCCCCTTTTCTGCATCTGGCTGTTACCTTTTGCCTTATAATTAGATCGCAAACTCCCAGGAGCAGGATTTGAGTTTTGTTCTGTGACTACGTGGAACACAGCACAGTTCAGTCCCCTGTCCGTGGGCTGCTTCATTAGAGTAGTAATAAAATCATCATTCCTCTCTATCTCTGCAGAAGAGTCCTGCACAAAACTCTCCCACATCGGATGCAATGTTTTGGCCACTGAGTGGAAATCGTGAATGAATTCCAATAACAGCACTGGAAACACAATGTTTGTAGAAATTCCCCATGGTGATGAAATCCTCTCCCCTCTTCCCACTATGAGAAGAGTTCAATGAATTGCCTCCCTGTTCTACAGTTGCCAGTGGCTGGGAACACAATTAATGCCATCTGATGTGGAACATCTCTTCCTCTAAGCCTTCCTTAAACTAGTGACAAGCAATGTTTTCATTCCTCTTGAGATAGCCTTGTGATATACTTCATCAGCATTAAGGCTTATTCTCACATATGAGAGTTTAAAAAACAAAAAAAAACAAAAAAAAAAAAAAACAACAAACCACCTTTTAATGTTTCTCTGTGATCCTTCAATTGAGCTGTTCATTACTATCTTCTTTCTTAATACCATTGGTTCCTTAAGACATCGGGTTATATGATCTAACAATGTCTGACCTTCCCCTTTTTTCTGTTCCAGTAGAGTTTTGAGCCATAGTGGACAAGGCTTAGGCAGTTACCTTAACAAGCCGCCTGATGTAAAAGCTCTGTACTCAGGGTCACTGCTTTTCAGAAATTTCTTAGATCTCAGCATTTCTTGCAGGAATGGCAGGCCTCGTGCAAGTCAAAATATGCTGCGTGCACTGAGGAAACAAAATTACTGGGTCAAAATGTCAAATTTTCTGTGGATGTCTGTCACGTTCATGCAGTGTGCCTCCCCACAAAATAAATCCTATACAAGTAACCAAACCCAGACTTCCTTCTGTGTGGGGCTCTTCCTTGGAGCTTGGCACTTCTGGCACACATAATATGCTGGCATTTCTACTTACAACTCTGAATTCAGGATGTTTTTTTACACTTTTCCAGTCCAGCCTCTACACGTGTGATGCTCAAGTGCAGTCAGAAGAACTGTGCAGTTACTCCCCTGCAAGGCTGCAAGGAGCAAAAGTGCTACAGCAGTCAGGGCAAATGGGACTTGGTGGCACTAAGGGACGTGGCTTAGTGATGGGACTTGGAAATTCAGGTTGATGGTTGGGCTTGTTGATTTTTAAGGCCTTTTCCAACCTTGATGATTCTGTGATTCTATGCTATAGCTGTTTCAGTCCCACCTCCTTCTCTGCAAATGTACCTCTCCATATCTCTACCACAGAACCTTACGTCAGCTGGTACACCTCCATTTCTTTTACCAGTCTCCCTTCCGTAGAGTTCAGGGGTGTATTGCTGAGCCACGATGGCTGGACAGTCACCTGTCTACACACCTACACCTGCACTGGAACTTCACATCTACAAAATGCTTCCAGGGTCCTGATCCTGACAGTTCTGGGTTCTGTTAAGGTGTGACTGTCTAACAGTTCCTACTATGACCTCCTTTCAAAAAGGGGACACTGGCAGATTTATACCCAAACAGCTTCAGATCACGAGGATTGCAACAGCTTCCTGACCACTGACTTTCATCTCTATCTTTTGTCAACACGGATGATTCACCAGATGCCACTGATTCCTCTACAAAAAAAGTCCTGCACCAGTTTGCAGCACAAACTGCCTAACATCTCAAAAACTAATTTTTTGAAGCTATTTGCTATTAGCAGTTAATGCATTCCTCTTTTGCAAGCAAGCTGCTTCAACCTAATCTCTTTTCAAAACTGTGTCCCTTCCTTATCTCAAGGGACAACTGGAGTGGTAGCTTCTGTCTCATGCTTACTCTTGTTTAGCATATTGAACACTCCTGTGATATAAGGCTGATAGAAGCACTCGTTGATGCCTTGTGTCAGGTCTGTATAGTCTGAGCTCAATTATAAAAGTCCCCATCCTTGTCACACAGATAAACGAGTCCTATCACTTATTTTGCTATCATTTAAAGATCCACAAAAGGACCAACAGCAGAAGCAGCAGCTTCTCAGACATCAAAAGAGGCAGCGTTGCTCATTTGTAAAGCTCTGGAAGTCTTGGTTGTGCATATAAATTGTAGTATCTCCTCACTGATGTCTGTGTAAACATGTTTGTGGGATGCAGAGACTCTGAATTACTTGATAATTCCTATGGAAATTTATGGCATGGAAGCTGACCTACTCTTCACAGTAAGAGCTTTCAGCCAAAGGTACAATTCAAAATTCAATGGCCTCAGGAGTCTTTTTCTTGGCTTTTAGCTCTTATACCCCCAGCTGCAAGGTAGGCCATTTAATCCCATGGGTACAGAACATAAAGAGGTAGGAGGGTTTGCCTGCAAAGAGGTGGAATGTTTTATCTGTGCAAGGGGAAAATGGGGATGATAGGTGGCTGCTGATAAGCAGTGAATCTGGGGGAAGAACTTGAACAGGAAAGTGAATAAACACAAGAACACTTCTCTGTAGCTCTAAGAAGGGGAAAAGGCTTTTGCTTATGTTTAAAACCCATAGTTGGTGCATATTTTGCCATGATATTTGGAAGTATGTAATTCTGTAAGTATTATTCAATGAGTGCTAGACTGCTTTGTCTAGTCCATTACTACAATAAAGCCATTCTAAAAAGAATATATCATGAAGATATGCAAATTAAGAAATTGCTACAATTATTATATATTTTTTTCTTTAAATCTAGGATCCTGGCATTTGTTTAATTTGCTACTCCTGGATTATGTTGCTCACATTTTCCAGTCCTATATAGAGGAGGAGGGAGCTGCAAGCTTCTATGTCATGGAGCAAAACGACCCACCCGTTCTGCTGGTTTATGAGCCCAGCTACCTCTGGGGCTATTTTGCAGAGGAGCAACCTCAAGCCAAAGCTCCACAGCCAACTCTCATAACTGTGATGCAGAGCCCGAGTAACATCACATTAAGCGACACATATTCAGAGTTCTGAGTTGTTTGGAGGACACAGGCACAGGCAGCAAGGTGAAATAAAATACTAGCTCTAAAGAAAATTTAAAAAAAAAAGAAAAAGAAAAAAGAGGCCATAAATTGGGGGGAATTGGGAAGGGTGTTATGTGGACAACAGACCAAAAGGGCTGATCAGAAGAGAGAGAAAATGGTGTAGTCTTTTCTCACTAGCATGAGAGGCTCTCTTTCCTCCACCCTGTTATTAATTTTGTCAAAAGATGTAGAAGTGGGAAATCCTTGAGGCCTTTCTGCCATGCCAGACTTCCTTGCAGTCAGTCCCGTGGTTCAAAATTATCAGCATAAGGCATGACATACAGGTAAAAAAACAAAATGTCCAAGTCTTCTTAGGACACGAGGCTAAATATAAGGCCATATGGGAATGTGGATCAAGCCTCTGTGGTTAATAGAAGAGATATATTCATCACTCGTATGTTCAGCTGTTTTCAGATTCCTCTTCCATGTAATAACAGCACTTGTCTTCAGTCTCAGAGAACACTGTGTTTTCCAGAACACGGAGCTGGACAAATGTTAATGGCACCAAGATTCATGAAGAAAATAACATTTTGGGGTGATCTTGCTATCATTATTTTACGGCTTATAAACTAGGACCAGGACTGGAAATTAACTGTTTAAAAAATATATATATATATATCCTCATTAGTTGTAAAGAGTTTTGGAGAACCCTTGTTTTTAAATATAAGATATGCTAAAACTAGGTCAGTAATGAAATTGGAGGGGTTAAAGAAGGCACAAAGGGGACAAAACAAGAATGATTTATGCACAGGTCATGGGCTGTTGGACAAAATAACAACTTACTTTGAAATGCAGTATGATGACCTGTCCTGCCGTACCACCTTAACTTCTAAAACAAGCTGAGCTGGATGCAGGGTATGACCAAGGAACTGCCAAACCACTGATGGCCAGAAATCAGGAGATAAACCAGTAGAAAGCTTACTCAATGTCTGTCCTTCTTCCTGTGCTCTTTCACTCTGCTGTGCATATGGGCTTTTTTATGGCCTCTGTGGCCATTGCAATGCTCTTACGCAGGTGACAGCAGACAAGGATCTGACCCGGGTTGTTTGTGTAAGTGATATGCCTATAAATAAATGTGTTGGTTTTTTACATATTTTGAACATGACACCAAGAACAGAGCAAGGCTGCTTAGAGTGAGGGACAAGGGGTGCCAGAGTAAGAGAGGATGGGTATAAAACCCAAAAAGGGGAGTAGCACAACTTGAGACGGTATGGAAGAGGGAAGGAGAAAGTAAAGGATTGGGCAAATGTAGGAAAAGCTTAGAGGGGAAAGACCCTGACAGCTAATGGAGCTGAAAGCCCCGGGTTCCAGCAGCCCATGCCAATACTAATCCCACAGGCTGATGAAAAATGCAGCTGCCAAAAGCGTCTCCATCTCCTAGCACTTTGTTCACCTTACCATCTCTGTGGATCCCCTGAACGGATTCCTGTCGCAAAAGGGGTTGGCTTCTGTGACTTTGGATCACCTTCCCCTGCTCCCAGGCAGCCATCTGTCCCTGCTCCTGGCTAATCCCAGAACGCATCCTGTGGGGTATGCAAACCCTCAGCGGCGTCCCACAGCCAAGCTGCTGTTTCCTGGGCTGTGCGCCTGCTGCCTGACTTCCTGCACCGTGTATCGAGGGTGTAGCTTGCATTTTTTTTTTCCCTTTCAGTCCTTTACCTCATGCAGCCTCTGCAGATCTCTCTGGCCTGGTGTCTCTCTTCAGCTCCCTTCCTCCACTCCATCCCCTGCCAACAACACCAACCTCCGTATCTTTTTCATCTTGTCCCACAAGGCATTTCTGTGCCTTCCATGCAGCCTGTTATGCTTGGGAAAAAAATCTGTTCATCGCACCTCCACCCGCATCTCATTGAAATTAGTGCTAAAAACTCACTTCTGCTGTGAAACCCTGGAAAAACGAGAGGGAGGACTGGTAACAGAAATCAGAAAAGAATCTCCCAACCTTGCCCTTGCATCAGCAGCAGCAATATGTGCCTGTGTCTCAGCAGATCTCTTCATGATCTTTCAGTCGTCACCTTCATTTTTCCTTTTCCTTCCCCATCTGTTTTTGGTCCCCCATCCCCAGTTCATGCTGAATATAAATTACGCTCCTCAGCAGAGACACCGTGTTTTTACATGTATTTTGAACAGCGCAGCATTTTTTTTCTTTCTTTTTTTATATATATTTTTTTCTTTTTTTAATTTGAAGCATGAAAATCATTGTTAATAATCTTGAAAACCGAATATATTCCAAGCTGGTGATGTCTCCCAAGGAAAACATTCTTTTTATATTTAAAAAAAAAAAAAGTGCAGAGGGAGGAGAATGAGACGATGCAAGATTTAAACAAACTGGCTTAATGGGCAGTGTGGCAGGTTAAATGCTAAATAGCTGAATGCAAGTAGCTTGAACTAAGAATTGTTGAAACTGATGGCACAAACAAAGATGCTCTGAGTGAACTGTAATCTGTAAAAGGGCAGCTCGGAGAGCATTGGCCTGATCTATATGCCTTATCACAGAGCTTGCAGTTGCTTTCTCTCAGCACGAGCAGCATTTTTTCATCTAGAAAATCCCATTCTGCGCTTCTTCTCTTTGTTCACTTGTTACCAAATTAAAATCCTATTAAACTGCACACCTGCAGTGGGTTTATCTGCAGAGCACTGTGCTGTAGCTTTTAATCCAATTCCACGCCTCTGTACCATACAATATACGGCAAAGAGAGGCTGAGGGAACACTGCTTGTAGCTCTGCCGGCAGAGAGCAAATCAAACACTTTGATTTGCTAAAAAGGAAGAAAAAAAAAAAAAAAAAAAAAGGAAATAATTAACTACTTCACTTCAATGAATGGTGGGTGTTCATCTGAGTGGTCTGAGTAATCCAGGATACAGAGATCAAGTAAAATCCTTAACTGAAATGATCAAAAATAAGAGTAAAGTCCCTGCTCAAATTCAGTGGCAAAACTTCCAGATTTTAAGAAAGCCAAAATTTCAGCACAGAAAAGATATCCCTAGGACAGGGGAGAGATGGGACTGGGATTATTTGTTTTGGAAGAGAATAGACAGGGTTATAGCAGACACGTAAAGTGAGAATGATGTATCGAAAAGTAGTTATGTCCTCCTATCAGACTTTTGCCACCCTACGGGGAAAACTACTGTGTATCTCCTCCTGTTGGGTTAACACATGTAAAATTAGGTTGGGTATCTGCAAAAAAAAAAAAAAGCAGAAGGTTCAGCAGGAAAGTAGAGAAAAGACTTATTTAATGAAGGGAGAGAAGACTTTTTCATTAATGAAGGGAGAAACAATGATTTACGGTCCCTACAATCAAAACATTCATGTTTCTTTTCTAACTTTCAGGTCATCCAGGTGATTTGGAAGACAAAATAGCTAAAATTTTCATTAAGTTGGATCTTGCTGTTGGAAGGGAAGCAGTTACTAGTCAGAGATGGACAGAATTTTTCTTTTAGTTTTACCTCCCATGGTCAGGTAATTTTCAGAGAAAATCAGCCTGACTTTTGAAAATACTTTATAAGGATAGACCTTTCTTATTTCTGATATAATTTTAAGAAATACTATTTTCATTCTCTTAAAGTTAAGATCTTTTTCTGTAAATACTAAATGCAAAACTGTGCTAGTATGATGGTTATTTTAAGTTGTCAAGTGAGTTCGTTATTTGGGTTTATTTGAATAAAACTTCAGAATAAAAAGGTGAAATATGTGTTTTGATTTTATTTCTTGTACTTATCAGTGTACTTATTGTTATCAGTGAAGCTGGAGACCCATGTGAAGTCATTGTGGTAAATTTGAAAGCTGCGGAATAGATTAATGACCCTGGATCAATGCTGTTTTGTGTCTACAGTACATAGCTTAAAATTGATATTTATCACATATAGAATTCAGCACTGATTTCCACATCTTGAAAAAATCCTACTTTGCTTCCCACTTCTGCAGGATACAAGAGTCAATATCTCAGGCATAATCGTATTAACTAAAATAAAATAACGTGTATAACATTATTGATTTGTTTATGTCAGAAGTGAAGTTGTTTGAACTTGCTCTACAAGTGGAGTACAAGCAAAAAATCTCTACAAAGAAACCCTGGAATAAATTCACGTGAAATAGTAAATATAGAGTATGAAATTCGTATTGCACCTGCAGCAGGTTGCATGAGGAAATGGACTAATGGCCATGTGAAAAACAAAATTGAAGAGCATGTCTTCTTATTTCAAGAAGGGACAACTCCTTCGTTATTTTAAGAAGTGATGTTTCCTGAACTAGAGAAAAGCTCTCCTGAGGAGCTTATCAAGTTTTCACTCATTCTGTTTTCAAAAATCTGTATTTATTTCTTCCTTGCATCTACACTCCTCAGCTCAAGCACCGAAGTGGGAATCATTATACAAAAGAGTGGTATCACAGCACATGCACTCAGGACCACGTGCTAAAGGCACAGTAGCAGCGTATTCAATTTTACTTGTAAGATTAAGTGTTTGGTGGTGAAATTATCCTCACTGGGAAAGTATCTTCACAATCTGAAAAATTAATTTCAGCCTTAAGGCCCGTTACGCCTGTTTTCACTATTCCTTCAGGTTATTATGGTGAAGATAAAAATAATAATAAAAATAATAAACAAGGGGAAAAAAGTTATAATGCTCAAAATTTCAGTCCATTTTTATTCAAGATTAGTTATGCAGCATCTTCTTTTTTTTAGGTTGAATGTTAGGAAGAACTTCTTTACCGAAAGGGTTGTGAGGCATTGGAACGGGCTGCCCAGGGAGGTGGTGGAGTCACCATCCCTGGAGGTCTTTAAAAGACGTTTAGATGTAGAGCTTAGGGATATGGTTTAGTGGAGGACTGTTAGCGTTAGGTCAGAGGTTGGACTCGATGATCTTGAGGTCTCTTCCAACCTAGAAATTCTGTGATTCTGTGATTGTGAGGTGTAATTCTGAGGATCATGAGGTGATCGAGCAGCAGTTACTAACACAGACCAACCTGGTGACCTGTCCTCCACAGGTACAGACGGTGAGGTCTGATAGATGTACCTGGGAGCATTGCGAAAGGCAGAATCTCCTGTGAGATCTGTTCCTCCCCGTCTCCTGCTGAACCTGGACTCCCTCAATAATCTGCGTTGGGACGGGTTACCCAGGAAGGTGGTGGAGTCACCGTCCCTGGGGGGTGTTCAAGGAGAGGTTGGGCCTGGTGCTTGGGGACATGGGTTAGTGGGTGACAGTGGTGGGAGGGGGGTAGTTGGACCAGATGATCTTGGAGGGCTTTTCCAACCTTGATAACTCTACGAATGCAATGAGGGGTTATGAGGACAGGTTTTAAGAGGAGGAGCTGTGGGATCAGAGCCTCCCCGCCTCAGCTTAGCGGCGAGGCGCCTGGGGCTGGGGGCCGCCCCCTCCGCCATGTTCTCGGCCGCGCTGCCGCCGCTTGCTCGCCCGCCACAACGCCTGGGGCTTCGTGGCCGCCCCCCGGAAAGGTACGGGGAGAGGGGAGAGACCCCCGGGGCTGGGGAGCTGGGGGAGCCTGGGACCCGCACGGAGATGTCCGCCCTCCTCCTCCTCCGCCGCCGGGCGCCCCCCAGCAGCCGGGGCTGGGGCAGGTCTGTGAGGCGCCGGCGGGGAGCCCCTTCCACATTAACCATTCATTAAAAAAAAAAAAGCAAACAACGAGGATTTTTAAGCAATGCGAGCGTGTCCTGCGATACGACTGACAGCTGCTGCTTTTTCACCCGGTGGCTCTTAATGACAAACAGGTCTGTGTAGTTGCTGCGTGAGGCAGCTCCGTTACAACCCACAGCACGGGGAGCACTCCTCACCACCAGGAACTTCCCAGTTGTAGAGGCGTACAAACATCAGCAGCCCAAGTAATAACAGCAGCCAGGGCTTTCTTATTAGCTACTCATAATTTAATTTTGCTGTGAAGGATTTACCGGTTACATCGAATTAATATATCGGCTGATGATTTTACTATTTAACATCTAATTGACCATGAAGACATACATGAAGACTTCAAAAATCATAATTCAGTAAGTACCTCTCCTTGTGATTTGTAACGGGATGAAAGGCATAGTAAGAACATAAATCATTACAGAGAGTATTAATGTTTGTCCCTGCCGGGTAAGGACATTTTTGCATGTGCTATACCCATCGTTGGCTATTTACACAACTCGGAGACTGGGAGGGAGCTTGCTGAGGACTTGGCTCCTCGCTGCGTGGCAGGACGGGTTGGTGGCTGCCACCCCTCCCAGGGCTGAGGTTCCCTCCCAGGCGGCCGAGCTGGCGTGCAGTTTGACTTGAAAACACAATTCTGGCTGAAATGCCTTCCCCCTCTCTTGGCAAAGTGATGGAATCACATTCTGAGTCGTGTCGAAAAGGAGAGGCAAAATTAGAGTAAAAAGCAGGCTGAATTGAGGCTAACTTCAGCTCTGTTTCCTTTTTGCTTTGAGAGAAGGTAGCAGCCCTGTTTTGGAGTAAGTATTTATTGTTGCTGATGGCATTTTGAACTTGGTAGTTCCTGTAAGCTCAGTGGAAACAAAAATCTTCCCTGTTGTGTCTTAGGACTTTGCAGATTTGCAGAGGTGTCTTTGGATTTTGCAGATCCGAGGTATACCCTTTGGGAACTGTTTGCTTATCAGTGATGGTCCTGTCAATAACAGCACTGCAATCCCTTTCTTTTACGTGACGCCGAAGGATAATGTTGTGGCGGATCTCCTGAAGGATCCTGTGGCTTCTCTGACCCTGCCAGAGGCAGATGGAAATTTTTGCAGGTAACGAAATGTTGTGTGTCCAGTACTAGCTTTGGTGAGAACAAACACAGACCTCAGAATGAAACAGTGACAGCTTTATGCTGGCCACCTTCACTGTCCTGTTCTTATTTTTGGCGCACACCATCAGCTACAAGCTCCTCCTTGGGTTTGTTTTGCAGTAAGTTACCCAGTAAAACATCTTAAAGAAAAGCAGAAGTAGTAATAGATACCCAAGTAGTATCACCTAAGTATCAGCATCAACAGCTGGAGACGCCTTCAACTTGCATGTTAGCATGCCCAGACTTCGATCTCTTTTTGGAGGTGTTGACATAAAACTTAGGTGTTGGAGATCCAATTACAGGCCACGGTGACCTGGTCAGTAAAGTCAGTAGACTTTCAAGGGCTGTAGGAGTCAAGGTGAAGCAGACACCCTTGCTCGGCTGAGCAGCTCTGGAGGCCCTGCTGGTTGGCTTGGTGGGGCTGTAGCTCTCCAGGGTCGAGAAGAGGATCTTGTGTCACATGTGTAAAGTGTATGCATGGAAACTCGATGACGATACAGTTTTCCCCGCCGTGCTTGTCTCCTTGGAAGAGACACGTCTGCGCCATGTGTTTGTTTGCAGTCAGACCTGCGGCAAGCTTGGCTGGGTCGGCCTCGTGTGAAGTGCTATTTCCAAAGGCCTCTTTACCCGACGAGGTAGGTGACACCAAAACTCTGTCAGACAGGACTCCGTTAGCAAAGCAGATCTTGGCTGATACTTCAAGGAAATAGGTAGAGGAACTGGTGAGTAGGGGCTGCCTCAGAAAGATATGAGGCTGGAAGTGTTTACCCCAACTTAAGGTCCTCTTTTTTTTGGGGAAGAAAGTTTTGTCTTAAGAGCCGGATCCCAGACTTACGCCCAAGACAACCCCCAGCTGGGTCATCTCAACTTCCAAGCCTGCAAGCCGAGAAGAAAACTGGAAAAAAGCAGTGAATGGCAAGTGGAAGGCGCTCCCACTGTCACCTCCAGTACGTACTCTTCATCACAGCACTTACTGAGGTAATTCAGCTCTGAGTGGTTGAGAAGGTCAACAGAGTGGTGAAGCTAAGATGAGAAGGGTTCTGTTTGTTTATTAAAGTTATTTCATTAAATATTTTGAGTTAATCATTTCAAATCGTAATTAAATTTATCAGCTCTTTAGTAAAGGGCTAATGGAGCTTATTCCTGCCTTCTGAGCTTCTTCACTTTTATCAAATAATGAGCGGAATATCTACATCAGGTGCTTAAAATTGTAAGCTAAGCCCTGTGCCCTAGCACCTACGTGGATGTCCTGTTTTCAGAGGCTCAGAGCGGCTTCCATTGATGATGGCTGCTGGTGATGAGCACTTCTGGAAGTTAGACACCAATGTAGGCTCCAAAGCGTGGTCTTTCATCCCTGACTTTAAACATCTGCTTTAGAAAGTCTTTGCCTTTCACATTTTAGCAACACTGCTGCCTGATTTACCTGTTTGGGAAGAGCCAGTTCACCAACAAAATGAGTCATGACTTACAGACATATGAAAGTCAGACACATCACAACCTTTCAAGAATATTTATTCACTGTCTTCCTATTAAGCATCTATTAATTTCCCAAACAACTGCCAGGCAGCTAACCCCCGTATTGCCAAGACAGCTGAGGCCACACTAATTACTAGTGGCCACATCCCTGCACTCCCTCCCTCCCTCAGACTGGTCACATGCTGCCTCCGTCCTTCTCTTAAATCAGCTCTGGGATTTGTCTGACCTCGAGTTCAAATATAAAGCTGAAGAGAATTAACCCAGTGATGGCAATCCCGTTTTCTGCTGGTCCTTCTGCCTGTCCCATGCCTGGTGCTGCTCCCGTCCAGCCAGTCCCACCCCTCCTGTGGCCATTGAGGGGGCTGCTTTATCTCTAACCTACCAGAAACCTCTTCCTTTTTTTTTTTTTTTTTTTTTGCTGGATTAGGTTTCTGCTGGGTTAGCAACTTGCAGCAGCTCACCAAAAGCCAGAGGAGCACGAAGGAGAGGGGAGAGGAGAAGGTGAGGGAAAATAGGCCACCCCCATTCCTGCATGTAACCCTACTCTAAATATTGAGCTTACTGCTGAACTGAGCACAGAGATGTGGAGTCAAATCACTGCTCTTTGCATTATTTATTTCGTCATTACGTTCAGTTTGGTTTTCATTATTTCTGGAGTTCTTGCCTGTCACCGATGTTGGTTGGCATTAAAGGAGAAAATATCAGATAAAGAGAGTGAAAAGCTGGGGCATTTGGCAAGCTGCTGTTTGCATTTTTGATGGCTAGCAAAGCGAGAAGGCTTTGGGGCCGTCTCACAGTCAGCAAGGATGCAGGCACTGCGAGCTTAACTTTCTTCTTCCCCTCCCCTATGTAACCAGGGTCAGAAATGAGTTTACGTTTTAAGCTAGGAGAGCAACCTCACAGGGAACATCCACAGTGCGGGGTTTCGTGTGGTGTCTTAGCTTCTGTCCAGCAGGTTTCTTTCTCTTTACTCAGGCGAAATGAGAGGCCAGACCTGTTATTCTGGCAGACCTCGGACTGTGCTAGGTATTAGGACAGCACCCGTGGAGATTTTGTCACAAAGGGAAGTGTCATTTATATTTTTTAATACCCAAATTTTCTCTGGGGCAAGGGCAACATTAATTGTTTTGGTTCCAAAATAAGCATGCAAAATAGCTAAACGAATAACGCTCTACGTGAGAAAGTTCGCGTCCTTGTATGCCAGCAATGAATTTGGCCCTGCAGCCTGCTTTCAGGTAGAATTTTAGTAGAATTTCATTATTAACCTACCCTGAGTTGTAAGAATTAAAATAACTGAAAGCTGTTTGATGCCTGTAGTCAGTGCTCTTGGGAGCACTTGGCACTCTCCTGAAACACGCTTCTGACCTATTGCATACAGAAGAAATCTCTGGCCTTTAGAAAGAAAACACAGCTGACATTTCAATAGTCTTGTATCTAATCAAGTGGCCTGTGTGCCCGTGCATCAGCCTGATATTAAGTTTATTTAGTAGCGAATTTCATTTGTTTTGTTTCAGCACATGCTCAAGTTTCAAACCTGGACAATGAATATTCCCATTCGTGGGGCTGTGAGGAGCATAGGGCGGCCTTCTTGGTTTTCCAGCCTCAGTGTTTAATCAGCTGGAGAGAAAATTTGCAAAGCCCCAGCCAGTACAAAACTAACTTTTAATAACAAAAGAAAGAGAGCAGCGATGCATCGGGATAGGCAGCAGTTGCGGGACATGATGCTGTGGCAGCTCCAGCCTGGGTTCCTCCTCTCTGACCCAGAGATTTCCATTTCCCAGGGGGAGACGAGCTGCGCCTCGCTGCAGACACCCTCTGATGCTCAGCCTACAGAGAGGGTTAGTTAGCCGCTGATCTGACAGCTGATAAATGGGTAACAGAGGCAAGAAAAATGAAATGGTTCAGGGCTATAAATAGACAGAGCTGGCATGCTTATTCCACATAAAAACCGAAAAGATTGAGTCCTATTCTTACGGATTTCAGAGGGAACAAGACCGAACCCTGCAGTAAAGAATAGAGGGGCGATTGTTCTGAATGGATTTCCCAACACACAAGCTTCTCAGAGGATCTCTCTTTCCAAGTAAGCTCCTGGGCCTGCCTCATTACAGTTCAGGCTGGAAAACAGGCAATTAATTTCAAACAAGTGTCGTCTCCTTGACATCAGGTTCAGCACGTTCATAGGGACTGAGTCAAGGCAGCTTTCCTAGAGGAGGAACAGTTACACGGCTGCCATGAACTGATGTTCACACAAGGGGAAGAGAAAGAGAAGTGATGAGCTGTAGGGCCAGTCCATATGTCTGTTTTCCTTTCTGTTAGCCTGAGGATGGTGTTTTAAATCCACTCTGCGGACTGGGAGTGATTCTGAGTGACCCAGATCCCTCTGTCAGGCTAAAGCATCTCCAGCGTTTCTGGACAGCAGCAGGCCACAGGAAGGACTGCTAGAGGAAAGTACTTCAGCAGGTGAGGGTCCCTTCTGGGTGCTTGGTCGCTGGCATACACAAATTTCTGACTTTATTCCCAGGCAGATAGACCAGCAATGGGTGGCAGGTGCGACCTCTGAGGGGTCTGTTGGCCATCCAACGTTTATCTGCCTCTGGGCGCTGTCTGTTAATGCAAGGATGAATAAAACAAAGAAATTTGGTGGTGTGCTTTCACGCAAGGAGAAATTACGCGTGCGGAAGACAACGGCTGAATCCAGACATCCATCCCGCATTTTTTGAGGAGTTGAGATCCACCTCCTGTTTCTGTGGCACAGACACATTTCTATTCCTGGTATTTGTATTGGTCCTCTTTAGTCATATGCAAATAATTATGTCAGTAGCAGTTCCTGAAAAATCTGTATTTAAAAATTCAGGAAGATACCAAATTAGAAAGTCAAACATGAAACCTACTATCATCGTGACCCAATGCACACAATACAGCTCTAAATTACTGTTTTTTTTTATCCCTGTATGCTTAAATAACCAACTTCCCAAAATCCCTGTCTAGATCACTAATATGTGTTTCTCTGAGTTTGCTTACAGAAATAGCTGATGCTGTGATTCTTTCTTTTTTCTTTTTTCCTGTGAATTGTCTGTGGTTAAACTATATAAAACCTGGCTGAAATATGCAGTTCAGCTAAAGAAATGAGTTGTTATTGTGAACAAAGATAGACAAAGAGACTGACTTGATGTAATAAATTATAATTAAAACAATCTAGAAATTATAATCTTCTAGGAACAGCAAAATGACCTAAAACTTTCAGACAGGTAGGCTATGAACACCGACTCCCTTCAATGCAGAAGAGGCATTGTACCAGCACTCTTCAGTTCCCAAGGCAGCTCTTCCAAAAGCCAAGATGCCTTTTAACTCTCTTTGCTGGCTCTCAGACACGGCTGATAAAGATATTCTTGTCAAAGTCAGAGCAGGGCAAGGCGAAACTGCTCAGCCATATCCAGCTGAAGGCCAGCAACAGCTTTTCAGATTATGAAATTGCTTTCAGCGGAGATTTTGTTTGACGTTTGTGCCATGCAGATTAGCAGCAGCGATACGCTCTGTCTGCCTCAGAGACAGTGAGGAGACAATAAAATGAACGAGGAGGAAAACTAGCTTTTGAAAATTAATGCCATTTAATAATCGAAATTATATGCGCTGTACAATAATTCTCAAAGGACATAACGTTTCTTCCATTCCTTCATATAAATGGATAAAAAAGGACAAAAAAAATATGATGCCATACTAGTTACTTTCTGGTTACTTCCTATTTTGGGGCAGGACGAACAGGGGTCCTTTACAGGGTGACAGAGTCCCTGCCTTAAGTCAGTGGGAGGCAGCAGGGCTCAGCCAGTCCCCACCTCCAAATGGCATGGCTTTGTATGGCCACGGGGCCACTGCTGCAGGAGAGGTGAGGGTGTGTGGACACCCACTGCCCTTACGCCACAGATGAGGTGCTTTAAAGTAGCAAGAGTAGAAATAGGGCTTTCTTCTTGGCTCCTGGGTCTGCCTTTCTGCAATAGGAGAAGGCTCTTTTCCAACTTCTCTCTTCTTTCTGCTTAAAAGTAGAAAAGTAAAGTAACGTTTTTTCATGGAAGGATGGAAGGTCCTGTCTCCTCAGGGGAGAGGAGGATGGCAGCTCCTCAGTGGGAAAAGCAAGCTGGGGAGGATGAGAGATTCCCATCCATAAGCCTCTGCTTCCTCCACCAGTCCCTGGTGCACCATGAGCCCTCCCACCTTCTTCCTAGCGATTCCTTCTCAGGGACACTTGATTCTCCTTATTGAATGATTCCTGAACTCTTTTACTGCTGATCTGTGCCAGATCTGTTTCAGCTCACTAATGGACTGCAGAGGCCAAGGATGAAGATGAATACCCAGTGAAACCAGGAGACAGAGCATCGACAGTCAAGGCAGGGATCTAGAGATCTCAGCTGCAGAAGGGAGTCCTCACAGAGTCCCAACATCATCACCTTGTGAGCCAATTTAACTGCATCAGCCTGAGTTGTACGTTCATCAGATCTGCACTTAGATGGTTTTGGTGCAGGAACCTTCTAATTAAAATCTACGAGATGGCTGGTGTAATAAACAATTTAATGAGTAGGTGGCAGTCTTTACCCTGAACCGTTCTTGAACCGTGACTCAGAAAGTGCAGAAGTGGTGAGCAGTAGAGTAAGCGGGGCGTGTTCAGCAGCAGCATGCTCCCCATCATTGTCAGGAAACAAATTTCGCTTGGACACAGGCTTGTCCATAAGCTCAGTAAAGCTGGCACCTTGGTAAGATGGTACTTTGTAGGCCAGCTGCAAATGCAGCTCGCTCTCTAACTCCTTGTGCCCAGAAGAGACAACTGCCCAGACTGGGTCAGACTTTGCATACGAAGTTTGCTCACCAAGCAGAGGAAGAGGAACGGAGGTGATCAATTCTCTCTTCACCAATCAGATGAATAATTAAGAGAAGCTCTCTTAATGCATCGTGTTCTTATAAAATGCATAAGCTGAATCCTCCTCCATTGTCATCTGGCTTCAGTTAACTTCTGCAACAGAGTGTATGTATTTCATATCAGCATAAATAAATAAATGTGTTCCCTATTGATTTGTCTCCTACAATGGTTCCCTACTTTCTCCTCCCCTCAGTTCACATCTTACCGAAGCCTTCATGAAATCCTCTCCAGGGCTACCGAGGACCTGATTCTCTTCCTAGGGCCTTAGAAGCCCTTGAGGGTTTCCTCCTCCATGCCTCCAAATTTTATGTAAAGCCATTTTTTCTGCACACCTTCTTGTCCTTGTGCCAACCAAGACAAAATAAACCCAAGGACTGAGGGCTGAATATGTATTTATTTAGACAGCAGGCAAGAAATAACTAGCAAATGCATGACTAGACCTCTACAGATACAAAGGAGGAATATTTTAGTAAATACACCTATTTATCCCTGATATCCCTGTAATGTCTTTAGTAAAAACATGAGCTGTATCCATTTACTCCTAGGAAACAAAGCCTGTGTTTAGGTTAGTTACATCAGTAGCACCAATGAAAATTCAAGGCCTGTTCACAATACAGTTAGAAGTGATTGAACTTTTAGAAGTAACTTTAGGGATCTTTGATAGTTTAGAGACTATAAAGTTATCACACGTTATTAAGGAAATCCTACGCCAGAAATGATGAAGAAACAGATTTCTTTCAGAATATGAAGGGCTCCTTTGATAACGAAAATAGTGATGGTAATGTAAGATTAGAGTGCAAGGTCGCTATTCTGAAACAGAAAGCCCACGGTAAGAGCCAGTGCTAAATGCAAAGCCCACGAAGTAATAACACGGCGTACTAGATTCAAATGTATCGTCGTCCTTTGCTGAGCTCATCCAAAACTTCATCTCACAAGGTTTTAACAAGTGCAGAATTTGGTACAAATAACTTTTACTGGGAGTGACGGCATTGTGTGTGTCAATTTGTGTAACGCCCTGACTCGTGAGAGGGTAACATACAGAAAACTGCAAACACAAGGAGTCAGGAAAATAAATTAAATAATAAGATTTCAGATATGGCTGTATTGTCATCAGCTGAACATGTGGAGAGCAGGTTGTTTTTTTTTTTTTTCCTGTAAATCAGGGAAGAGCCACATCTGACACTCCTATCAGGTGAAAAACCTCTCGACAGCGGAAGGCAGCATCCACAACCCAAGGGCAGCGGTGCCAAGCCAATTGCCTACTCAAAAATCAGCAAGGACACTTGTAGAATAAATGAGGACTTGCACAAAACGATCGAGTAATTCTCATCCGAGGAGGTGTCAACCCAAAATGCCTCACCAAATGACCACACCCAAATTTATCTCCTTGATCCGCTCTGTGAAACGAAGACATCCTTTAATAACAACCCCTTTCTAGTTCCTCCCTGAAAGTAATTAGCACCATCCTGCCTAGGAGCTGTACCAGGCAAAGGCGGCTGCAGGTACTCGTACTTCTCCCAGCTTTCAGTTGTTTATGGTGCTGTTAGGCTCTGGAGGAAATGGTTTCGTACACAGAGATAAAGGGTTATCAGCTGAAAACAAGCGCCTGAACTGCAGCTTGGTGAGGGAGAAGTCCCCTTCCGTATTTGTAAGACTGATGAAGTACCGAGATTAAGCACGAAGCAGCAGTAGGTCAGGATGACTCAAATGGACTTTAAGACTCTGCACTGCCCTAGCTGCTGGACTTGCAGGTCCTGATCTGTGTGTGGGATCAGCTCACCCTTCTGCTGTGGGCGAGCTGATTCCCACGGAGAGTGCCTTTCAGTGGGCAGCGTATCCCGCTTCCAAAGGGGAGGACGCCACCTTCATCTGGAACCATAAAAAAGGGGCAGGTCTGCCCCTCCCCTGTGTCTCTGTGCAGGACAGGATCCTGCCCCCCTTGGCATGAGCTCTAGGAATTAAACCTGGCAGAAAATTTTCCCTCTTTTTTATAAACTGGGTTACTTTTTTTTTGCCTCAAGGCACCCCAGAGAGTGGTACCCTGCAGCCTGCGCAGTGCCAGAGCCAGCTTTTACGTCAGGTCACCTTTAACCTGAAATGCCATAAAGCGCATTTTTATCTGTAGCTTCATCAGGTCATAAATGGCACCCTGTCCCCATCACACATGACCATCTCCTCCCTCATTTTAGTCATAATGATCCTGATATTTATTCTTGTTTTGATGGGTCGGTTGCCTGAGGGGTCACGCAGACCGAACGGCCCCTGCAGCAGCCAGACAAGAGAAGTGAGAGGGAGCAGGGGTGTCACTGGGGCACGGAGCCGCACTGCTCGGGACAGGACAGGCTGAGACCACTGTAAGCAGGATGTGAAACTGCATCGTCAGCATGCGGTGGGAGCTAGTGTTGATCTACAACACGCCAAGGCTGCCGTGTAGACAAGTTTCTACTGCAAATATACACTGGGAGAATTAAACCCAGTGTCCGGGCAGGCAATGCGGATTTTCAGGTGCTCAGAACACCATTTGCTACTTCATAATAATAATAAAAAAAAATGTGCTGGAGAAAATCAGACCATTATTTATTGATGCGAACAAAAAGACTGAGCTTGATCCTTGGCGGCCGCTCTTCCTCCCATGCAGAAAGTACGGTAGAGGAAAAAAAGTATGAGTGGGGTTTGTCCAGACATCATTACGCTGAGCACCACCTTCAGAGAACGGCAGCTCCAGACCGAACAGGATGCTGAAAAAACATCCCAGAGATGATGTGACTGCAAATGGCTCTTTGGAGCTCAGGCTACGGACTGTGCCAAGTGCTTACTGGGCATAGCCGAGTATCAATCAGCCTGTTGTATTTCCTTGTGTATTTCTGTTCCTGGTCCTATCTATAAAAGCAGACACTTTATCCAGTAAGCTACACAGTCTTTCATAACCATCTGTGGGGAATCTGCAGGTGTTAAATTAGCTGCAGGAGGATGCCCATATGTTTCCTGTATGCAATAGGCACATATTGAGAGTTAAAACAACCAAAAAAAAAAAAGCCACTGCAGATTGCACACAGTTGAGGCTAAAGGGCTCAAGCAGAGATCTTTACGTAAAATTGCACACAGATGAGATGTAATTTACTGTGATTCGCTGCTTCAGATTAAAACACGGAGAACAAGAAATGCAATCTTTGTTTCCTAATGTAGTTTTCGGGGCTTATGTTCTTACGTGGGGACACAGTCCTGGGCAATGCTGAGCAGTCTCAATGTGCTGGCAAAGGACCTTGGGGCTGCTCAGCACGTCTCGGGATCAGGCCACTGCAGTCATTGCCTGAAACTTTTTTGCAATTTGTCAGTTTACTCATGATTTATATCATTGTATTGTAAACCTCGGAGTCAGCAGTTGTCCCACAGCTACTAATGGGAGTTATTTATTATTACTGTATAGAAAGAGCCAAAAAGCAACAAGTACCTACTCTGTCTCAGTTTGAAGGATGAAGGCAGTTGATTTTTTTTTTTAATAGACTTTACTTGACTCTTTGTGTGTGCGTGTGTGAAGAAAAGCAATGTAAAGCAGTTGAAAAATGGGCAAAAATGAACAAGAGCTGAATTTCCAGGGTAGGCAGAAAGAAAAATTACATGCAAATACATATACACATACTTATTAATCATCTCACTAATTCTCTTCAGAATCCTGAATTCAGGGCTGTACGTAGGTCTGGAAAAAACTGCCATTTTCACATTTTTGAATTATTATATTAATGCAGTTTTTAAGAGCATGAATTAAGATTAAGCAAATCTCTACAGTAGAGGTCTCTCAGGTATTTCTTCAGCAATCCCCCTGAACGTTACAGCTGAGTGTAGAAAAGACCTGCACAGTTTGAGAAAATACTGCCTCTTTTTGTATTTGTATATCTCAAAAGCAAAGAAGACAAGCTATTACACGAGCATTTTTCTCTGTGCACAGAAAAAATGCAGTCGATCCGGAGGATCCAAGGTGTGCCAGACTGACTCTCACAGGACAGATGGTCACGGTGCCTCCAGAGGAAACGGAATTTGCCAAGCAAGCAATGTTTTCTAGGTCTGTATGTGATATGCATATAGTATCGTACAGCCTGCAGTTTGGAGACAAATATATAGATGCAGCCACTTGGTACAGAAAACCTGAGAAGCAACAAGCCTGATCTTTACTTTGGGGCCACAAAGGATGTTGGCCTGGAACTACAGGCAGAGCTTCACAAGCTCCTTTTAACTGTTGAGGTAATGAACTGTGGAAACACAGTTGGTAAATATTAAGACTCCAGTAGACCATGTGTTTTGTAACCGTGGCTGTGAGGAGAGATTCCATAAATACAGGGTGCATTGGTTAAGTGGGACACTGCATGTAGAAATCCATCCCACCTCAGGACAAGTAGTACTGATTACCCACAGCCCCTTAGCAAGAGACAGAGCAGCTACCTTTGGGCACTATGTCACACCCATTTGCAGGATGAAGCCTGTGGGCTTCTGTGAGGCCAGACCTCATGGTTTGGAAACAAAATTCATCAGCTCTCATCTCCTGGAAACTTCGCAATGTAGAAATGAGACAATTTGTAGCATGCTTCCCAGCACTGCAGTTCTTGACACCTTCAACAGAGCTACACTGGAGAATAAATGAGTGTGCTGCCAGGGCAGGCCCAAGAGAAGAGGCAGAAATACAGGACGTGAAGGCTGTAGCAGACGGTAGCTTGAAGAGATCGTGCCCCACCTGCTAGCTAGTTTTATGACCTCTCCTGACATACCACCACAACTGCTACCGAAGCCATAACGTTTACAGAACACAGTCTCCTGTGAACAGATACAAGCACAACCCTAACACCATCCACTCCACACCCAGGGTGTGCCCCCACACCCTCCAGTGGGACCCGTTTTTATCAGTGTAACAGGCATCAAAAGCCTGAACTTTAGCCGGGACATGCACCTCCAACACTGGCTGACAGGGATGATCCTCCGGGCCGTACCCTTCCCAGTGAATCAAATACTGAGGGGAAACTGGGACGTGCTGGGAACCAGCATGGCCCAGACACAATGTTCTCTCTGTCCTGCTGGGAGGGATCTGGGTGAACAGGTTTTAACGTGAACAACACGGGCAATCCTGAGGGAACGAGGAAGCTGCAGACAAAATGGCGGGCCA